AACAATTCGAATAATACTGATATCGCCAGTAGCTACGTGTCGAGCTGGATCATAATTATAAAGCGGAAAAACATCAAGAAAGTACCAACATGTCAACATAATCGTGATTCAAACTCAAATTCCTTAAAACTAGGGCAAACTGTGAACAAAAGTATGGTTTACACGGAGACACATTAAAAACACAAGGAGAATAAGACCAGGTGTTCAGGATGAGTAAGCGTTTTCTATTTCATCAACGAAACCCGCCTTGTAAACATTGGTCAAAACAAGTAAGTAATGTCACTTTCGCAAATGAGAACAAGGTATACAATAACAGAACCAACAGAAAATCGTGATAATGGGAACAGGACCTTGAATATCGAATCAATTGTGACATGTAAATAACATGGGTTGGGTAATGCAGGAATATTGCTATCCAGTAATGGAAAATTCACAATAGAGAAATTGAAATAATTACGTTTATCATACAGCTGGCCATGCTTTTTTCGTTGAAGGAAAATATCGAGATAAGCAGCTGCTGTAGAAAATCCGTCATGCCTTCGATTTCCAATTCTGGTGGGTACTTACCATGGAATTAGTCAATAAATTTCTTGTTGTTTAAAGACAAAACGTCATCAATATACACCAGTTACTATGTGCACATTTGAAATTTGTAAGTAAAGGTAGAATAAGAACAAACTGACGGAGTAGGTGTACTAACATAGGCCTAATCTCGTACATCAATTATACCTAGGTATACTCACACAGGCCTGATCTCGTACCCTGATTATGCCTAGGTGCACTAACATAGGCCTAATCTCGTACCTTAATTATACTTAGGTGTACTAACATAGGCCTAATCTCGTACCTTAATTATACCTAGGTGTACTAGCATATGCCTAATCTCTTACCTTATTTATACCTAGGTATACGCACATAGGCCTAAACTCGTACCCTGATTCTACCTAGGTATACGCACATAGGCCTAAACTCGTACCCTGATTCTACCTAGGTATACGCACATAGGCCTAAACTCGTACCTTAATTATACCTAAGTGTACTAACATAGGCCTATTCTCGTACCCTGATTATACCTAGGTGTACTCACACGGGGCTGATCTCGTACCCTGATTATACCTAGGTGTACTCATACAGGACTAATCTCAACCCTGATTCTACCTAGGTGTACTAACGCAGGACTGATCTCGTACATTAATTAAACCTAGGTGTACTAACATATGCCTAATCTCTTACCTTATTTATACCTAGGTATACGCACATAGGCCTAAACTCGTACCCTGATTATACCTAGGTGTACTCACACAGGACTAATCTCAACCTTGATTCTACCTAGGTGTACTCACACAGGACTGATCTCGTACCCTGATTATACCTAGGTGTACTCACACAGGACTAATCTCAACCCTAATTCTACCTAGGTGTACTCACACAGGACTGATCTCAATCCTGATTCTACCTAGGTGTACTCACACATGACTGATCTCTTACCCTGATTATACCTAGGTGTACTCACACAGGACTAATCTCAACCCTGATTCTACCAAGGTGTACTCACGCAGGACGGATCTCGCACCCTGATTATACCTAGGTGTACTCACACAGGACTGATCTCTTACCCTGATCCTACCTAGGTGTACTCACACAGGACTGATCTCGTACCCTGATCCTACCTAGGTGTACTCACACAGGGCTGATCTCGTACCCTGATTCTACCCAAGTGTATTGACAAGTTCATTTTTGTTTTAAATTCGAAATGCAATTATCAGATATGACCTATTATGTATACAGGTAAATATTGCATTCAGTTACCATAGCGGAGAGTATAACAATAATATCAACACAAGAATATATATGATAATTGTTAGTGGAACATATAAACAACGGGTCTTGTTTACTGATGAGTCGCAGTTCACCCCGTTTGGAGCAGAAGGTCGACGTCGTGTATACCGACGTTGCGGAAAACGTTTGCCGACAGCAAATCAGTTGCGGTGTGGGGAGAAATCTCACATGGAGTTAGATCACCATTGGTTGTGGTAGCGGGTAATTTAACTGCCACTAGGTAAAGAGATGTGATCATGGGACCCCATGCCCCAATATTGCAGCAAAACAACCTTACATTCTAGCAGGATCTGTCGCGACTTTCTCACTAACAACAATAACCACCCACTGGACTGGCCGCCATACAGCCCCGAACTATTCCCTATTGAGCAGTTGTGGGACCAGCTGGATAGACAGGTTCAACGAGAGTAGCCCTCTTGGAGAAATGGAACAACATCCCAATGAGGAAGATAAACTCACTCATGGACACCATGCCCAGAAGCAGCAGAGCTCTGGAGAGAGCGAATGGGGGACATACCCGGTATTGACTAGCTAGCTCCCACAATTAGTCCATTTCGATTTCAGAGTACAGAGTTCTATTCAATTCCCTTTAATCAATCCTAAATCACTTACCAGATACAAAGTGTATGAATTAATCTTCATTCTTACTTTATTTACGCGACGTCTTGCCTAGAATCATCTTCAAAGTTTGCCATGCGTTTCTTTATCGACTTGGTAACCTTATTCGTGCATAGGTATGAGAACATGACACCTATACTGAATTATTACTATACTGGACATAAAAAGCTAGTGGTAATAAAGATTGTACAAAAGACACACAAGTGAATAGCACCTTTTCATATTTACAGTGAGATGCCAAACAATGAATTAAACTGCATCATACAGCTGTGTCATCCTTGTATGACTACTCAGTGATGTTACGTGCCTTAATTGTGAAGCCTAGGAGGCGACTAAGGAGAATCCAAAGTGATCGAAAGAAAGGTCAAAATCTAGACGGGGAGATGAATCAGCGCAATATATGCAATTCTTTCTGCCATTAAGATAAATTAAGCTTAATGATCCTTTACCACTGATTTATCATCAATTTATGCACAATATTTTTGGTAACAATTTGCATGTCCAACCTACATGAACGTGTGAGAAGACATTTGGTAACACAGGGTTTTAACCAAACTGTCAATTAAGGTTTTATTAACAGTCTGCGAGGACCGATGAATCGATCAACACCTTTTGTGTTTCTGCTGAATGCCCTGTCATTTTGTATCCTGTTTTTGAATATTTGTAAACATGAAACGTCACATGACAGCTGCGGAAACTGGCAGAGTAGTCTGCAGGATACTGCAAGCCTGACAATAACAATGAACAGTGGTTGTACACTTCAATGCGTCACAGAATGCCATTTCTCGATTAAGGAATCGATTCCAGATGACCGGATACGTCATCGAGATATCTCGATCGGGTAGACCACAGTGTACGACAGCCCGTCAGGATCGTACACCAAACACTCTTAGTAGGCGAAATCGGTTTGCAAGTTCCATTAGGTGAAATAAAAAAATCCGTCAAGCAACTGGAAGAAGAATTTCTTCACAGTGAAGCATTTATTTCACTGCCATGATTACCTGCTAACAGATCCTCCGCACGCGGTTGACTCACACCATTACCGTATAGCGCAGAACCATTGGACAGCCGACCATGGTAATTGACGACGCGGCAGTGGCGACCTATTCTTTGTACGGATGATTCCAGGTTTTGTTTGGACTTTCATGATGGCAGGAGGCATGTTTGGCGTGGGATAAGTGAGAGGCATGCTGTCTGCTGCACTACTGAGCATGACAGTCTCGGTGGGGTCTCGGATATGGTTTGAGCAGTTATTAGTTTTGGTGGTGGGACTGACTTGTACGTGATTGAAGGCTGTGTAGCATCACAGGTTTACGATATCTGGAATAAATTCTTTATTCAATTGAAAGGCCTATTGTGGGTGTTTGTACTGGTGGAAGGCAATGCTCGACCGAATAGAGATAGACTTGTGAATAAGTACCGTCAAGCAGGAACTACCGAGCGTATGGACTGGTATAGTCTTTCACCTGACCTTATCCGACCGCCCGCGCCTTCCTGTCAACGGACAGTAGCTTGCTGATGTTCTTCGTCAAGCATGGTGAATCCACTTCTTCATTACTGATCGAAGTCCACATTATGCCGTTATTAGGGCCAATGTGTGCCGTTCTTAGGACCAGTGGAGGACACACTCACTATTAATAGTGTTGCTAAATCCACTGAAACATTTTGAATTTAAGCGCCATTGGAACTTTAACTTTGTTTTAGAATATTATATTTTTTTATGTAATCATACATGACATGCTAGAATAGAATTGGTTCAAAGTGGGTCAAAATATTCTTCTTTATTTTTTACTTTTCTTTTTAATTTCATATTCAAAAAGTGCGTTTTGATACAAATAAATGTATCTTTAATTTTTTTGGTGATGCAACCTACTTGTGTTTGCCTAGATTTACATTGTAGGTGTCGTTGTAGAAGGCGGTTACCCTTTCGGAACACCCTGTCTTATTGTCCAATTTTTTGTAAGGGTCTACCTGTGAATCTTTCTCTTGTTCATATTTCACCTAGTTTCATAGAATTTAAGTAGGAAGTAAGATTCGGTAGACATGTTTACGTTATATTTGAAAGAAAATAAGTTTTAAATGATTTCATTATGTAACACCCCTTACGCAAAAATAGTACTTGTGGTGAGTTAAGGAACACGCAGTAATATGAACAATAATGGTAGATGTAATGATAGAACTACCTGATACAACCATTAATTATTGTCGGTAACAACAATCATCATCATTCTCGAATACATCCATTTATAAATACGGAGGTGTGACATTGGCGGTATCTTCATTAAATGTTTATTCATTACAAATGAGTATAACGAGTACACATTGCTGCCGTACCCCGCGAAGCTGCAGCTACCTGTAAGTATTGATATACCTGGCTCCAACCTGGCGCTGACATCAGATACCACTCACGAATCAATATCCAATGTGGTACAGGTGTTCCGTGTGCGTCGTTGGATGGATGTGGTGATTATACCAGCGGAAATGGTTTTACATGTTACAGTGGTCACAAACACTTAATACGGTTTGAATGTTTCTTTGATAAGATGAGGATGATTGTTTCTTCAGACCTCGCATTCCTACCTGGAATGGCCCTTTTCCTGATGTGTATAGCGGAAGCTATCTCTCCGACCTCGGCACAGATCGGTAAGCAATGTTAGTCTTGATAAACTAGAGCACCTAGTGTCTGTCATCGTCGCTTGCTTATCTCTTACGTGTAGGAAAGTTCTCAAACGTTCATGATACAAACAAGAAATCTCCGGAGGTGAGCAAATTGTTTATGAGCATAAGACAACAAGTGTGATAATAGATTAATAACGAAACGACACGTTCTTATTATGACCCACAGTCGTGTAACGGTTGTCAAGCAACTTCCGAAGAAGACACGTTCATATTTGAATGGCCAATTCCTTGTGTGATTGCGTTAGTTCGAGAGATTGAATTCCTTGTGTGATTGCGTTAGTTCGAGAGATTGCAACCTTTTTTCAACAAGCGTTGGTTAGTACTCATTGTTTTGTTAAAAAAGGCTGTGAAATCTCAAAGATTATATTAATACATATAGATATCGGTTAAGATAACTGTTTTAACATCCAATGGTTTTCGATGTCATTGGCTTGCCACTTGCCACTTGCCACTAGATATTATCTACGTTTGCATACATTAGCGAAGCTTTTGATAACATATAACAATATGTCCGTCAGGCTATAGAGATAATTATCCTCAAGTGATCTTTTTAATATATCTGATGTTGGTAATCACATCATAAACACTTTTGTCGACGTCCTGTCCCCTGAGTATCATATGCGTCATACAGTTTTCCGAACATGTCTTCGAGGATCATTTTAATAATTAAACAGTTTCGACATTCTGGTATTATTTATTTACACAAAATAGAAAGTGTCACATTTAAACTTCAACTTGGTGCTAGCAGAATATATGTTTCTATATATATATGTACATAACGTGTAAAGTAAATAGATGTACACCTATCATGTGATGATTTTTGTTTCCATATAATACGCCCACGATCTGACCTAGTTAACATGATGATGTGTTTCTTCTATAACTAGTTCCTCTGTTCTACTTTACATAGTATAATATTTCATTTTGATTAGCATTTTCTAAGCATTATGTTACCAATAGCAATGTGACGGCTTAACAAATACAAATAGAATGATAGCAGCAAACAGATTTAATTTTAACCTATAATACAAAGTCAAACTTTTATCCGGTCCGTGTTCCGTAGTATTAATATCTGATTGATAAATTAGCTGGGCTGAAGTATAAACTTCCCAGAATGCAATTCATGAATCCTCTAGTTTAATCAATTACAAGGTCATGTTCATACATACTTTTATTTTTAATTTTGAAAACCCAAGCATTCCCTCTCATAGTAAAATTTGGTTTTGTTTTATTTTGGGATAAACTTCTGAGATTAAAATCTGATACGTTAAGATAAAATTCCCGTTGTTAAGAATGCTTTACATTTTGTTTTGAATTAACTCAGTGCTTTCACTCAGGGACAAAAATATCATGGTATTTATTGGTATTTATGAAAGACGGTTTCTTTCGTATTGAAATTTGTTTTCTTAAGTTCGGTAATAGCTTTACTTCTAGCTGCTGTACAGTGTTAGCTTTACTTCTAGTTCCTGTACAGTGTTAGCTTTACTTCTAGCTGCTGTACAGTGTTAGCTTTACTTCTAGTTCCTGTATAGTGTTAGCTTTACTTCTAGCTGCTGTACAGTGTTAGCTTTACTTCTAGTTCCTGTATAGTGTTAGCTTTACTTCTAGTTCCTGTATAGTGTTAGCTTTACTTCTAGTTCCCGTACAGTGTTAGCTTTACTTCTAGCTGCTGTACAGTGTTAGCTTTACTTCTAGTTCCTGTACAGTGTTCGCTTTACTTCTAGTTCCTGTATAGCGTTAGCTTTACTTCTAGTTCCTGTATAGTGTTAGCTTTACTTCTAGTTCCTGTACAGTGTTAGCTTAACCTCTAGTTCCTGTACAGTGTTAGCTTTACTTCTAGTTCCTGCACAGTGTTAGCTTTACTTCTAGTTCCTGTACAGTGTTCGCTTTAGCTCTAGTTCCTTTACAGTGTTAGCTTTACTTCTAGTTCCTGTATAGTGTTAGCTTTACTTCTAGTTCCTGTACAGTGTGAGCTTTACTTCTAGCTGCTGTACAGTGTTAGCTTTACTTCTAGTTCCTGTACAGTGTTAGCTTTACTTCTAGCTGCTGTACAGTGTTAGCTTTACTTCTAGTTCCTGTACAGTGTTAGCTTTACTTCTAGCTGCTGTACAGTGTTAGCTTTACTTCTAGTTCCTGTATAGTGTTAGCTTTACTTCTAGTTCCTGTACAGTGTGAGCTTTACTTCTAGCTGCTGTACAGTGTTAGCTTTACTTCTAGTTCCTGTACAGTGTTTTCTAACTGTGATATTACTTTTATATTGTATATCTGTAACTGACATTTATCCTCGTTATGTATTATCTGAAGATATATTACAGGTTATCTATGTATCCTATTTCTATGCATGTGTTGTGTAAACTATATAGTGTGTTGTTGTACCTTGTATTTACTTGTCTGTGTCTTTAACGGGGCCATATTGTAAATTAGACGAAAGTCTAAATATGTAACCCTGTCTAAAAAAAGAACTTATAATAATTATTATCTTTAGAAATCTGATTATGATTATATTTATATAAAAGATAAGATATCTTTTTTTAATCTCCATTATAAAGAAATTTTGCATACCCGAGCAGCGACTAGTTTTCAGAGTGAATGAATTTGTAAAGAAAAATGCTGATATTTAACATGTTAATCTTATCAATAACGAATGACATATTGTCCTTATCATACGTAATGCTAAGAACTAACAATGCAACACAAAAGCAAGATTTTTCTGTAATTTAAAGTAAATTATGAACCAACAAAAACATGTTCATGGGAAATACGGATCTGCCGATATGTCGCCAGGTCTATCCTTGGCTTGAGCTGACCACTGAAGGTGGTCAATGAGTCTAAAATCTAATTCATTATTTCGGTATTTTATATGGAACTTTTGTGTATTTTATACAATTTTCTAAACAGCTTGGTAGTCTTTTGCGAAGTAGGAAGTTATGGACTGCTAAGTTGTTTAAGATATTGTCATGATTCTTACACAAAGTAATGCGATATTACCGATGGAGAATACAGTGACCCTTATTACATGACTCCAGAAAACCTTTATTATCACAAACCATTAACCAGTGATGGTTATTATACCGCACTGCACATTTGCTAATCGCTATTATACATTATGACATAATTTTATTCCTTGCATTATCTGCAAGCAACAATTTAAAAACAGCACGAGAGAGGAAAACATTTTCAAAACATGAATTCATATCCATTAAGTCTTTTTTGCGTCTGTGATAAGGTTATCAATTAATTAATGGCGGAGTCTTTCAATATCGAATCCTAGATGCTTTGTATTTAGAGATATAATCAAGTGCATTTTAGATCTGACACGAGTAGTTTTTACTAGATTACACTAATGGACCTGACTTTGATGAGGACATCACGATCTGTAATCAGGGACCAATGATACGGGAAATCGATACAGAACACTAATTACTGAGTTCCGTTTATTTTCCATTATAGACTGTTATCAAGCTGCTTACTCGACCAGGTAAAGCAAAAAAATGCAAGATATTTTTTATTCATTTCATAGGCAAAATCTTAAACAAAGACTCTTCTACTAAAACACTTTTTGTTACAGTCCATAGCTGTGTTGTCAACAGATATAATGCCCAAGGTGATAGAAGTAGCACATGTGAATATTCACTGTTACTCATGAATCGGTGATGACTTTCAATGAAAGGGACACATTACACATCTACTTACTCATACCGGCGAAATTGGCCGAGGAAAATCTATGAAAACAAAGCCATCAAAAGGCATTATCAAGCTTTATGCTTGTTTTTCTTTATTATTGAATCTATACCAGCTTCTATATGACACAGTCACTTGTCATTCCTTAAAAGGTGATAATGAGAGAAAACCTATTTTGATTTTATACTTAATCCTTTACATCGTTCGTAATTGCATTCCATGTTGTTTTGTAATCATGTTAAAGTAAAACTATCGTTATGTTTAGTGGCGGTCATCGACAAAGACAAGAACAGTAAAGTTGTCTATTCAGCTCTGAATACCAAGATCCCCTTGTCGAACCCACAGTATGACGTCACCATGATTCAAGCCTATGACGATAATTCCATAGATACGCTCGACCGAGGTAAGCAGTCTTTAAATGAAACAAGATCAATTAGCGATCGATAGAGTATATAATGAGTCCTATTTCATAACCACCTAAGCTCATTTATATCTATATATAATACCAGTTATAATCCATGTACATTCCTCTTTAAAAATCGTATTTCCGCTCTTCATTAATTCTACAGTGGTTGATATTCATAAACAAATTTTCTGTCTGTTGATATCCGATTAAATTTTATGTATTAATAACTCGTCATACCTGTAAGTCTACAGTTCTGTCAGGCAAAAGAGTGAAATCGCTAAACTGAGTTGAGAACTGTGAGTGGAGACAGTTGAGAAGCAATATATGGGTCTGTTTATTTATTTATATCACAATCTTGATGGCATATTTTATGTCACAGTGTGTACAGAGATGAGTGGAGGTGGAATGGCTATGCTTGACGCCACTGCTCCAGCCGTGGGACCTCTGATCCGGTCATTCGCACGCACACTCGGAATGGCCTACTTCACTCTAGTGGACCAGTCAACTTTGCTTCCTGTAGACTTTCATCCGGAACTACACCTGCCCGTAGAACCGCCTGGTTCGGCCATGTTTCACATCATACCAGACATTGTTCAGCATGAAAATCTAACTAAAGTCGCCATTTTGTATGACGAATCTTTCGGTAATTTTCTCATCCCAACTGCAAAATGAAAATCCTATACATGATATAGATCTTAAGCGTTGAAGCACGGCTGACAACAGCTGCTTAGCTTTCAATTCAACAATCAATATACACTAAACTACAAAGCACGTTAAAAATTCAAACCTGTTTTGTATTTTTGATATACAAGTCGTGTTTGTGACGTGCGTAATATATACGAGAATGACATGCTCTACTTAGTAGCAATGAATACCTGAATGTACATTTACAAACAACACATTAGCACAACAGATAACTGTATTCAATATCAATTTTTGATTAGCTGAGCGTATTGCATTTCTCTTTAGCAATGTTGGGGTAGAGCAGTGATCAATGTCGCTATGGACTGCAGTAATGCAGATATCTTGTTTCAATTGAAGGGACAACCTGGGTTGATGGATTTCCTTGTGTTTCATATCAATATTCAGTAATGGACAGATACATAAACCCCTTTCTCTATGATTTAGACATTGCTGCCCCAAAGTATACTTCAAATTATATTGTTATTGATACTTCTATAACAGATCTCCACGTAATTCCGAAGAGGATTTTGACAGGAGTTCCCACTCAGCATCTGTATCAGGAGATTTCACCAGACGAAGAAGCATTGGCTTCACAACTTAAGCGCCTCAAAGACCTCGAAATCAAAGTCTTCTTTGTGCTTAGTAATTCCACAACGATCACTTCACTGCTAGGGACGGTAATGGAATACATTTAACGTATTTTTTCTATATGGAATTTTCAAAACAGCTATCATTTTAAAAGATAGGATAGAAAAAATATGCTGTTAAATTATCCAAACTTTTAAATTCAATTTGAACCATCGATTGGAAATACTAAGCTTTATAATCTGTTAAAGAAGAACAAATTTTGGAACTAACCTTAACCAAAACAGATTTGTACGGGAAAGACATGTTGAGAAAAGTGAATATTTGATTACTGTCTGAATAAATCTAATTCGAAAATTGTTGATATGCTATTGACTTAAACTAAACAAAATTTGTCCGAAACAGAATGTACACAACTTTCAGCTCACTAATAAATCTTTTTCAATAAAGTACGATGTAAATTTCATACAATGTAGGACGGGCAAGCTATTTTAGTACCTCTGAACTAATAATTATGGAAAAATGATTTCGAGCTAAGGGTTCTTCATGTAGTTGAAAATCTGAGAAAGACTAAAGTAATCAGCCAGGTAACACCAAAGTTGAACACGTCTCAAAATTGAATCGAACACAGATCACTTAGGTAATAGGTGAAAGCAATAAAATACCGTACCCACTATGACATCCAAATTATCCTCGTATGACCTCTATATTCCAGGTACACTCCCTGAATATGTTCGAGGAGAAGTATAACTGGTTCGTCCTAAGTAAGGTATGACTTTTTGCATTCCCTCTATCATATTTATTTTCTATTTTCTCTTTTCGTTTTTCATGCATCTCTGATAGGTATTTTGCTGCTACATCAGCGACATGCCATTTGTATCTATATTTCTGTGTAGCATACCCTTGTGTAGCATTTGTCTTCTGCTATCAGGTTACTGCTTTTTTCATGTGTATAGCATATTCCTTTCACTTTTACATCGCATTACATGTATATTACTTATATTTTATAGACCTTTGTAGATAAGTTCTGTATCTTTCTCTATCTTATTAATGCTTATGGAATAGGAAGAAAAAATATGTACTATATCACCAAATGCCACAGAACACTGTGTTACTGATGGTTTGTCATGCACTAAACAAGAATCTTGATAATATATACGTTACCTTCGTAAACCACAACATCCCACTCAACTCAGGTGTACAAATTGAAGTGTATTTTTGCAGAATACTTATAATCATATTATATACATAATTTATTTACAAAGCGGGAAACGAGATGTATGATTACGCTTTACGATTTTATCTTTTGTATGATTTTATTTCACTTATATATTATTCCGTTTATCCATGTTAAGATTTGATTTTAAGATTGCTATGTGGTTTCAGCAATGTTTGAAATATCACATCTGTTCAGATATGATATATGGTATGATTACACAGATAAATGATTTATTACTTCATATTGACATTATTTTAAGCCATTATATTATTTTCTTTCGCCATCATATAATTCAGCCACTTTTATAATATATTTCGTATTTGAAAACATTTGTAGCACACCGATGGATTTAAATATCACCATCTCTCGTTAATGTTTACTCCAAACTATTTCAAAATGAAATTTTAATTAACATTTTTTTCAAATCATGGGTAAAAATGTAGGCTTAAATCTATTGAGAGTTTTCAATGAGTTATCACTGGTAACAGCGTGACAACCGTGAGAGACCGCTCTTATTGATTCAGCTGTTTCCTGAAATCTGAAGTTATTTATGATTGCCGTGTGTTTTAATTAATATAATGCGTGCACTGCTATTCGCTGCCACTGGTCGGTCATAGAGTGTAGGCTGTATTGTACTAGTGTATTGTGAACAGTGGCTAGGACAGTCAATATAACGGCAGTCAGGGTAGGGTAATCAATGTCGGGTAGACTGGAAACTATTGTTAAAATCAATCTGTTCGACCTGGTTATAATATGTGATGTGTGATTGGTACCATACCTTAAAACATTCCAGGCATATATCGTATCGATAATTGACACTAAATTGCATGTGATAAGAGGTTATATCTTAAGTTAAAAGAAATCAGTCGATATTGATTAATTGTTTGTAAATCGTGTGTATTTACACAAGGTGGGGGTTTCTGTTTAACACTACAGGTATAATAAATAACACAGAGATGTATCATTGACCTGCCACATCTGTGCTGGCTTTGTTTACCACGTGAAGTAATATCACAGCGTGCTGGCTCATGTTACACAAAAATATCAGGTGAAAAATGACTGATTACTGAAGTATAAAAACGGTAAACATTCAAGGAAAAATCATGACATAGAGAGTCCGGTACAGACTTTGCGACTCGTGCAGGAAATAACAATAAAGTAAACCCTTTGTAATCCGAGTAGAAACTAAAAAATATGAAGTTGAACGAATTGAGCCCATATCAAGTGACCTACCTTACAAATAAATCACAATTTTATCTGTGATCGCAATCAGCTGTAGGTATCCCTTAATCAGTTGTCTCATTGATTTTGTTGTAGTTTTTATGTTATTTTTTAGAAGGGGTGGGTTGGGGTAGGGTGCAGACAGCATACTGATCATTAGCGGTTCGTAATTATTTCGATAACACCTTATATTTAAAATGTTGTTTCCTCTCCCTGTTATCAGCAATATAATTGTCAGTTGTCTTTCCGCTGGTATTTTGTTACCGTAGTGCTTAGTGGATACTTTATTGCCAGAAGACCATACAGACCTAAGAGTCCTTGGTAACCTTCTGTCGACTCATTTAAACCATACCACTGGTTAATGTATAATGTTATTGATGTATGTAGGATACCGTAGAGGGTTTGATGATATTGTTCGATAGGGTTTGTTATGTTATGATATTTTTAGTATCAAAGAAGTGTTTTGTGAACTGGGTATGTCTGTTTTTCACGCAACTACACTCCAGCTAACGTCTTCGTCTAACTTAATCATTTTTATTTTCGATTTCTGACAGACGAATTGCTTCCAAGAGAACACCGCTAGGACTACCCCAGTTTGCCAGAAATTGAAATCTCATTACTAGTATGTTGTGTTTCTAGATGTGATGGGTCAAAGTTAACACCTTTTTTGCCTTTTGACAGGGTTCCAACCTCAACTGCCACAAGTGTAAAACAGGCAGTGTCATACGAATCAATGGGAAACACCGCTTTGAGAAGTTGGATGATTATATCCAAGCTATCAGCAACATATTACCCAACAATTACCCATATTATGCAGTTGACATCCAGGTAACTTTCATCTATACTGTTTTAATCGAAACCCTCATTTGGATTGGCGCACCCATGTAAAAATCATTAAGTGTGTTACAAAACAGTAACAATTTTTATCCTGCAACTGACTATTTTGGCTCGGAACAGAAAGAGAAAAGTAGCTCGCCAGAGACCCGCCACTTTTGTCTTTCTTCACCCTCGTCACAGCTTATATCTAAGACATTGACCATGTATTCCGTAAATACCTGTATATATACAAAGCAATAAAATATCCAATGAATATAAATAACATATTTGTGCCTATTTTGTTGTATAGGAGTTGTAATAGAGATCAGTTGTGTCATTAACGTATCTCAAGATATCTGTCATTAGAATATGTATATTAAACATTGGGTATTTACTCTATGACTTTTAATCGATTTAACAATTGTCAGTACTGCACAGTGGAGGTAGGAAACTACTCGTCAGTCACTATAAAAGCTTCAGGAACAAGCAACTCTGTATTACAGTATCCATTGTCAGTCAGACGACAGATTGAATATTTATGTAATCTATTTTGCTAGTTGGATGACATATTTTACTACGACTTCCATGTAATGCTGGGTGAGGTACTGAAGAAGACACAGCCTACTGAAATAGTCTCAGTACCAAAAGATAACTGCTACGACATTGCCAATGCGACAGACGTCCTATACAGACAGAGCAAGCAAATAATCGCTGCCTTCAAAGATGTAAGCATATATCTGAAAAATGGCATATCTCTTAAACCTGGTTATTGATAATATATCTCGATATGTCTCTCATACAATTTCAAATAATTTAGATAATCGATAACGAGGTTATATGTATCCTACAGTTAATTTATTTCTGAACCATGTACATGTACCATGAAACCAAAACATAGAATTAAATACAGTATGTGTGTACTGTTTGTAACACATTTTTGTCAATTGTATATAACCCGATTCTATATAGATGTGTTTTAATACCCGTAGATGACTAGAGAGGGATTGTATGGAGATATAGCTTTCTCCAAAGGGTCACTACGACAGAAACTAGTGTTAAACCTTCAACGACAGACGTTCAGGAATGGACTGAACCAGGGAAACACACCGGTAATATTCAATCCTTACAAATGATAAAAAATTTCATATAAAAAAAAAAATATTTTAGAATTTACAAATGTTCAGATATTTGTTAAGTCTTCTTAGCATTTTAAATGATATAATCGCTTAGATTTGCTGGAATTCGAAACAAACATGAGTATAAAGTTTTAATTTGCAAGCAAATATGTGTGTCCTTATAAAATTTTCGTATAAAAACCAATGTTACCGTTCATTATCTCATTGTTCTGTTGATTCTTGTACAATTGTTTAAACAGGAAATTAAACATGTTATTTCGTTATGGATTCAACCAATCATTTAAGTTGTAAAGTATGCTTATAAATATGACCGCAATCACTATTTGGTTTTAACTATGATGAGCAATGAGAGGTCAGTATGGCCATTACTGATGTACTTCATATCAACCCGATTGAGACTAGCGTCTTGGTGCTAGTACTTGGCGCAGCAAGTTAAGTCTCTGATAGTGTACTTTTATATCACAGCTTGGTAACTGGTCAGAGGCTAACAGCTTGGCGCAGCAAGTTAAGTCTCTGATAGTGTACTTTTATATCACAGCTTGGTAACTGGTCAGAGGCTAACAGCTTGGCGCAGCAAGTTAAGTCTCTGATAGTGTACTTTTATATCACAGCTTGGTAACTGGTCAGAGGCTAACAGCTTGGCGCAGCAAGTTAAGTCTCTGATAGTGTACTTTTATATTACAGCTTGGTAACTGGGCATAGACTAACAGCTTGGTGCTGAAGGTCAAGTCTCTGATATTGAAATAAATATTAACAACTTGGTAACTGGACAGAGACTAAACATTAGGATGCTGAAGGTTAAGTCTTTGCTAGTGAAATAATCTTTTACAGCTTGGTAACTGGACAGAGGCTAACGGCTTGGTGCTGAAGGTCAAGTCTTTGCTAATGAAATAATCTTTTACAGCTTGGTAACTGGACAGAGGCTAACGGCTTGGTGCTGAAGGTCAAGTCTCTGATAGTGAAATAAATATTAACAACTTGGTAACTGGACAGAGACTAAACATTAGGATGCTGAATGAAGGTCAAGCTCTGATAGTGTATCTATTTTTACAGCTTGGTAGCTGGACAGAGACTAAACGTCAGGATGCTGAAGGTCAAGTCTCTGATAGTGTATCTATTTTTACAGCTTGGTAGCTGGACAGAGGCTAAACATTAGGATGCTGAAGGTCAAGTCTATTGATAGTGAAATAATCTTTTACAGCTTGGTAACTGGACAGAGGCTAACGGCTTGGTGCTGAAGGTCAAGTCTCTGATAGTGTATCTATTTTTACAGCTTGGTAACTTGGCAAAGATTAAACATTAGGATGCTGAAGGTCAAGTCTCTTGATAGTGAAATAATCTTTTACAGCTTGGTAACTGGACAGAGGCTAACGGCTTGGTGCTGAAGGTCAAGTCTTTGCTAATGAAATAATCTTTTACAGCTTGGTAACTGGACAGAGGCTAACGGCTTGGTGCTGAAGGTCAAGTCTCTGATAATGAAATAAATATTAACAACTTGGTAACTGGACAGAGACTAAACATTAGGATGCTGAATGAAGGTCAAGCTCTGATAGTGTATCTATTTTTACAGCTTGGTAGCTGGACAGAGACTAAACGTCAGGATGCTGAAGGTCAAGTCTCTGATAGTGTATCTATTTTTACAGCTTGGTAGCTGGACAGAGACTAAACGTCAGGATGCTGAAGGTCAAGCTCTGATAGTGTATCTATTTTTACAGCTTGGTAGCTGGACAGAGGCTAAACATTAGGATGCTGAAGGTCAAGTCTATTGATAGTGAAATAATCTTTTACAGCTTGGTAACTGGACAGAGGCTAACGGCTTGGTGCTGAAGGTCAAGTCTCTGATAGTGTATCTATTTTTACAGCTTGGTAACTTGGCAAAGATTAAACATTAGGATGCTGAAGGTCAAGTCTCTTGATAGTGAAATAATCTTTTACAGCTTGGTAACTGGACAGAGGCTAACGGCTTGGTGCTGAATGTCAAGTCCCTTATAGAGAGTCAAACCAAGATGACACTCAGTGTTGTTATCGCCGGGAAGGTAAATGTTATGTATATATTCTATATCAACTTCTATCATGACAGAAAAATCGGATGTTGAGATACTTTGTCGGATATATCATCATAGTAAGTATATTGGTACATCAAAAGTACTGCTTCCTCTGTGGTCCTCGCTTACAGAGGTATCTACATCCAAACACGAGGTCCGTGCAGCCTGCATAATAGCAAAGCAGCCCATGGTCTGTTTCTGCATCTTGCTATCCATCTCTATCAGCAATACATAATTTGGAGAACAGCGTCAAATTTGTATTTCTACTGTTGCCAATATTTTGCCTTGTCATTCTGCTCCAGACACTCCAGGACCTTTAGTTAATTCGCTTGATGATGAACAATGTGGTGTCATTCTCTGTATTGAATGAATGATTTATAGACTTTGGCATTGCATATTGATTCCGAACCCACAGCCCAAGGGAGACAAACCATCCGTTTTTATAAAGTAGAATCCATTTACTTAAGGATGACCAACACCAAATTTGGCCCAAACTGGGTCAGAAATAACTCTTAACCTCTAAACGTATTTCCGGGCCTCGTCAGTGATACTACCGAACTGACTGTGATACCTTGCATTATATTTTGATAACTTATCCCATTCCCGCAATCTCCCACACTCGAACTATATATCGTATGTGACAAGTTATTGGATACTATTAAAACAGTTATAGACAAACACTCTTTGTGAATAAGTAGTGATGTAGCCGGAGGAGAGATATTCCACTCCGTCTCAATGCCTTAGACTTGTTGAGTTTTACGAGAAATATGATAACTCAGCTAATAGAATATGATCTATTTGGTTGATGAGTCAAATTACTGATATATAAGATATATGATAGTCATCGCTCAATATTGATTATCCGTAGATTCACTTCATATTTTTCGACGTGAACAAAAATGTACCATAATATTCAGAACGAAATAAATGGGAGAAAGCCAGATGACAAATTTGCCAGGAATCATTTTCGTTCTATTAACACTCTTATACTTCTGGCCGTCTGAAAAATATTCGATATTTCATCCATTTCCTCTCTTATTACTTGTTAAAATTGTGTCTCAACGGTGACTCTGTTGGTGTCCCGCCCCCTCGTCGCTGTTCATCAGTGCTCCTTCCTCCCAGTTTATGATGTAAATATTGGCATGGTCTGAGATGATTACTTCGTTGTATTCTTTTCTGGTGTCTTCCTGCTGTTTAGTATGTATATTTATGGTTGAAACATCGTCAGCAGCATAAAAGAAACTTTCCGAAAGCTCACAAAAAAGAAGCTTTCCATCACTGTTTACACTAAGATAAACATCTCCCTCAGTGTACCATAACACATTGTACCAGTTTTACAAAAGTTCCCAACAATTTTAATCTGTTTTCTATAAATATATAACACCTGTATCTGAATTGGATTTCCCTGCAGTACCCGCCGTTTGTGTACGAGAGCAACAACAATGAAACTAAATACACAGGCTATTGCCTCGACCTGCTCAACAGGATCGCCAAGATCGTGGGCTTCGACTACCATATCTACGAGGCTCCCGACGGACTAATAGGGGCTATGGCTGACGACGGCACCTGGAATGGTGTCATAAACGAACTCATCCAGAAGGTAAAAGTCCAATTGTTGGAAACCACAAACTCGTCCATTAAATTCCTCCATTCAAAAGAATCAAAATTGCTGAAAGTACGAACTCAACCAAACTGTTGGTTCCAAATCTCAAAAACTATAAAGAAGTTGTCCAAACGACTAAAGGTTAAAATCAACGAACGCATCCGATAAGGAAGGGTCAAAATCTCAGAAACTCCATCACAAAAGTAAGATTTACATCTCAGAAACTAAGACCATTATTAACAGATAGAAACGAAATATCGGAGAGCACGAACTCCACCAAAAGGTATACACACAATAAATAGGTAGAGTCCATACTCCTGGAATGGTATTGTTCAAATCTCAAAAACTACTAACTCCACCAAAAAGTATACACACAATAAATAGGTAGAGTCCAAACTCCTGGAATGGTATTGTTCAAAACTCAAAAACTACGAACTCCACCAAAAAGTATACACACAATAAATAGGTAGAGTCCAAACTCCTGGAATGGTATTGTTCAAAACTCAAAAACTACGAACTCCACCAAAAAGTATACACACAATAAATAGGTAGAGTCCAAACTCCTGGAATGGTATTGTTCAAAACTCAAAAACTACGAACTCCACCAAAAAGTATACACACAATAAATAGGTAGAGTCCAAACTCCTGGAATGGTATATTGTTCAAAACTCAAAAACTACTAACTCCACCAAAAAGTATACACACAATAAATAGGTAGAGTCCAAACTCCTGGAATGGTATTGTTCAAAACTCAAAAACTACGAACTCCACCAAAAAGTATACACACAATAAATAGGTAGAGTCCAAACTCCTGGAATGGTATTGTTCAAAACTCAAAAACTACGAACTCCACCAAAAAGTATACACACAATAAATAGGTAGAGTCCAAACTCCTGGAATGGTATTGTTCAAAACTCAAAAACTACGAACTCCACCAAAAAGTATACACACAATAAATAGGTAGAGTCCAAACTCCTGGAATGGTATATTGTTCAAATTTCAAAAACTACGAACTCCACCAAAAAGTATACACACAATAAATAGGTAGAGTCCAAACTCCTGGAATGGTATATTGTTCAAATTTCAAAAACTACGAACTCAACCAAAAAGTAATGTCAAAACTATGAACTGTGAACTCGACTTTGTAAACAAAATATCAGAGGCTATGAACGCAAGTAACTTAGCTATAACGTAGAGTTAAAATTCAGATACTACAATTTCACCCAGAAGGTGGAGTCAAAACTGAGAAATTGTGAACATGTTTAACAGGTAGAGTCGGAAATCGACAAACTAGAGTCCGCAATCTCCAAACTAGAGTCCGAAACTTCCAAACTAGAGTCCAAAATCTTCAAAGTAGAGTCCGAAATCTCCAAACTAGAGTCCAAAATCTTCAAAGTAGAGTCCGCAATCTCCAAACTAGAGTCCGCAATCTCCAAACTAGAGTCGGAAATCTCCAAACTAGAGTCCGCAATCTCCAAACTAGAGTCCGCAATCTCCAAACTAGAGTCGGAAATCTCCAAACTAGAGTCCGCAATCTCCAAACTAGAGTCCGCAATCTCCAAACTAGAGTCGGAAATCTCCAAACTAGAGTCCGCAATCTCCAAACTAGAGTCGGAAATCTCCAAACTAGAGTCCGAAACTTCCAAACTAGAGTCCAAAATTTTCAAAGTAGAGTCCGAAATCTCCAAACTAGAGTCCAAAATCTTCAAAGTAGTGTCCGAAATCTTCAAAGTAGAGTCCGCAATCTCCAAACTAGAGTGCGCAATCTCCAAACTAGAGTCGGAAATCTCCAAACTAGAGTCCGCAATCTCCAAACTAGAGTCCGAAACTTCCAAACTAGAGTCCAAAATCTTCAAAGTAGAGTCCGAAATCTCCAAACTAGAGTCCGAAACTTCCAAACTAGAGTCCAAAATCTTCAAACTAGAGTCGGAAATCTCCAAACTAGAGTCCAAAATCTCCAAACTAGAGTCCGAAACTTCCAAACTAGAGTCCGCAATCTCCAAACTAGAGTCCAAAATCTTCAAAGTAGAGTCCGAAACTTCCAAACTAGAGTCCAAAATCTTCAAAGTAGAGTCCGAAATCTCCAAACTAGAGTCCAAAATCTTCAAAGTAGAGTCCGAAATCTCCAAACTAGAGTCCAAAATCTCCAAACTAGAGTCCAAAATCTCCAAACTAGAGTCCAAAATCTTCAAACTAGAGTCCAAAATCTTCAAACTAGAGTCCAAAATCTCCAAACTAGAGTCCAAAATCTCCAAACTAGAGTCCAAAATTTCCAAACTAGAGTCCAAAATCTCTGCATCTATGAACGGAATTATTCGAAACATTTTTAACACAAGTCGTCAGTGCTGTCGCATTATACCGTAAGCTTATTTTCTTTTTTTCGTTAGATTTCTTGGCGAGAATTAAACTAACGAATTTTGATCGAGAAAGAATAACATTACACAAGTTCTGTACGGAGAGAATATGAGGTGACTGAGATTGATTTATCGGTTGTACACCAAATCAGCAGCTTCTGATTCTATTCTGTTCTAACGATGACATTTTTTTTCACAGAAAGCCGATATAGCTGTAGGACCTATATCAGTTATGGCTGAGAGAGAAAATGTAGTGGACTTCACAGTTCCCTATTACGACCTGGTGGGATTGACCATTCTAATGAAAAAACCGAAGTTTGAATACTTCCTGTTCAAATTCCTTATTGTACTTCATCCCAAAGTATGGCTTTGTATCATTGCAGCTTATTTCTTATTCAGTGTACTCCTGTGTGCATTTGACAAACTCAGTCCATTCAGTTACCAGAACAATTTAAAGCTTTGGAAAGGACATGGCCCGGAGCCTCGCATTTTTACGCTGAAAGAAGGAGTTTGGTTTTGTATGATGTCCTTGACACCACAAGGTAAGGCACAACTCTGATTCACAGTTGTGTTTATATTTAACGATATGTTCAATTACTGTGTTGTTCATTTATGTTATTAATACAAGGTATAACTGTTTACTTGTAATTACATATTAACATTGCTACGATATTGACAGTAAACAGGAAGAATTCAACGCCGTCCTTTTAAGACATCAAAATAGTAGAGATAACCTCCTGTCTTTTTTTCTATTTTTTTTCCACAAATAATTTTTACTTCAATCATATTCACTAGGTTGCTTATGGAGATCCAGATATAAAATGGCGACTTTTTCCCCTTCAAACTTAAATTTAATATTATAAGGTGGTGGAGAGGCTCCTCGTGCGTTGTCAGGACGACTGATAGCTGCCACCTGGTGGCTGTTTGGGTTCATCATCATTGCCACTTACACTGCCAACCTCGCGGCACATTTAACGGTATCTCGGATGGAGACTTTGATCAAATCCCTGGACGATCTTTCTGCCCAATACAAGGTCAAGTACGGACCACGGAACGGAAGTGCTGCTATGGTTTATTTCAAACGGATGGCAGAAATCGAGGAACGTTTCTATAGGTGAGATTGGTGTCATTAACTCTTAAAAGATGGCTTGTCGTACATGACATGCAGTAAGATAAAAGTTTAAGATGTTCTTGTATTGAAACTGATACCCAAACAAAATTTTGAACTATGCAGCTTATCTCATGTCACTTACACTAGTTACAACTTGTTGCTCCATAATTTTATGTACTGTAGTATACATTGTAGAATACTTCCTGAGTATCTTAATGCCCACGTGTTTTCATTTGGCAATATTTGAATATGGAAAGGGTTCTGAAAATAAATATGGGATTATTTGTCAAGAATCATCGACAAGCATTCTTACTTGATATAGAAATACGAAACATTTACATCGAATTTTTCATAAGAAATCACAATACGTTATATGCAATTATCTGTAACATTACTCTTACCAAGTTCTATTGGGTATATTTGTGTATTAAGTATATGGAAGCAGATGAGCCTGAACGACAGTCTAGATGCAGTGGAGCGCGCCAAGCTGGCAGTGTGGGACTATCCCGTCAGTAATAAGTACACCAAACTGTGGGAGACAATGAAGGGACACGGCTTCTCCGACACCCTAGAGGGCTCGATAGACCAAGTGATGACTGGCGAATATGCTTACATCGGTACAACGATCTATCAGTGATACTGATAATACAATTCATATTTGATAACTAAAAGTACCAGTTTGAATATTTGATTGGCTAGTTGGTTAGTGACAATAGTTAATTTGGTAAATACATATTCGTTTCGTGGTCGGCATTTACACGATTTCTATGTATTTGATCCATAAAGGAACATTCTAATTAATTCTAAAATCCCATAGTCCAATTAAAACATTATTTTTTGTTGTGGTCTTTGGATTAGGACATTGTTTCTGACGACTTTCGGAACATCTTTAGACAGGAATATTGTTGTGGTCTTTGGATTAGGACATTGTTTCTGACGACTTTCGGAACATCTTTAGACAGGAATATTGTTGTGGTCTTTGGATTAGGACATTGTTTCTGACGACTTTCGGAACATCTTTAGACAGGAATATTGTTGTGGTCTTTGGATTAGGACATTGTTTCTGACGACTTTCGGAACATCTTTAGACAGGAATATTGTTGTGGTCTTTGGATTAGGACATTGTTTCTGACGACTTTCGGAACATCTTTAGACAGGAATATTGTTGTGGTCTTTGGATTAGGACATTGTTTCTGACGACTTTCGGAACATCTTTAGACAGGAATATTGTTGTGGTCTTTGGATTAGGACATTGTTTCTGACGACTTTCGGAACATCTTTAGACAGGAATATTGTTGTGGTCTTTGGATTAGGACATTGTTTCTGACGACTTTCGGAACATCTTTAGACAGGAATATTGTTGTGGTCTTTGGATTAGGACATTGTTTCTGACGACTTTCGGAACATCTTTAGACATGAATATTGTTGTGATATTGACAAGCTTTTAAACTGTCGTATAACTATGTTTTGTATTTATTTATAGGAAATTACCTTTCTGTCTGAATATATCATATATCGTCCTTATTATGTTACACAGTATTTCATTTTCATGAGTATACATTGCATTTACAAGGTGACGCGGCAGAAAACAAGTACCAGACCTTGACAAATTGTGAGGTAGAAGCGGTAGGGGAGGAGTTTAGTCGGAAACCCTTTGCCTTTGCCGTACAGGATGGTTCGCCTCTCAGAAGCGAGATCAGTAACGCGTAAGTACATATCTATTCCCTGTGGGCAGTACGAATGTAATAATTTATGAGAAGCATGTTCTTATATATAGTTCAATGAATATGAGGTTATCGAGAGATGCGAGTTCGAGGAAGCGTGGGTTTAGTATATATATTTACACTCTTCTAATTTAAACTTGATGGCATTAATCAGAGTATATTTCTAATTAGTTGGCACTTTTGTTTTTTAGCACGTTAATTACGATAAGTTTCATAAATTGTTTTCGTCTTTTTTAAAAACCTTCTAATAATTTCCTTTCTAATTTTGTCTACTTTCGTCGCGTCCATTATTTCAGAATTTTACAATTATTGAATGAACGGTTCCTGGAAATGCTAAAGGCTCGATGGTGGACGGACAATCCCGAAAAGATCGAGTGTCCAAATATTGAAGACGAGAGTGAAGGTATCAGCATTAAGAATATAGGCGGAGTATTCCTCGTGATCGCCGTGGGAACAGGCCTCGCACTCATCTGTTTGGCGTTCGAATTCTATTTGTACCGATACAAGCCGAAACTTGAAGCCAAGCGTTATGGCGTTGCTAAGAAGCAGTCACGTGCTGAGTTGGTCACGAACGGTGTGAACGGCTCGTCCTCGGTCACTCGGAACAATACGTCCAATGGGTCGTTGACAACAACTATCTCCAATGGCGACACCTCAATCTGGCCCGACATTACATTAGACTACATGAAAAGTGAAACAAATGGTAATTCAACGTATTTTGCCGAGAGAATGTAAGGTTTTGTAATATGTTGACACTTTAATAACAGAGAAAAAAGAGACGATGGAATATATTTTAACACTGAGTGAATTACACTAGAATCGAAAACGTTTTCTCTCGCACTTTACGTATATATTTCCGGTTTTTGCTGAAGATAAAGTAGACAAAATGAGACAGTCACGTGCCTGTATGATGAAAATGAACTACGTTTTAGTAGCATAATTATCTAACATCAGGATGCCATCATCAACTGACAACGAATTCTAGATGTCATTAATGGTGACAGGATATGGAAGGCCGCTCTAACAGGATACGGGTTGGGACCGATCTGAAAGGATAGGATTAGGGCCGTATTGATAGGATACAGATCAGGGCCGTTTTGACAGAGTATGGATTAAGACCGCTCTAACAGGATATGTATTCAGACAGTTTTGACAGGATACAGATTAGGGCCGAATTGACAGGATACAGATTTGGACCGTTTTGACAGGATACAGATTTGGACCGTTTTAACAGGATACAGATTTGGACCGTTTTGACAGGATACAGATTAGGGCCGAATTGACAGGATACAGATTTGGACCGTTTTGACAGGATACAGATTTGGGCCGAATTGACACGATACAGATTAGGACCGTTTTGACAGGATACGGGCCGTTATTTTGTTAGATTGCTCATTATCTGTGCCGTGTAAAGGGTATATCATTGACAGGTCCATCTTTCTGGGAGGTATGGTCGATACTTTTACCAACAACGTGAGATCTTATGTTTAGTACATTGTTCATTACGTAGCCGGATGATATACTTAGGAATTTAATGTTGTTATAGTGTATTTGATGTGGGAATCACATGTTGTTATAGTGTATTTGATGTGGGAATCACGATTAATACGTTCGTTATTTTGACACCATTGTTAACGTGTATGTTTTATAGAATACTCTTATAGTGTTTTGTTTGTAATTTTCTCGGTGTGAACGACATTCTAGTGTTATTAACCTTTTCTATTAATTAACTTTAGAATTTTCCGTCCTATTTCATTCATTACTCCTCTGATCATAGATTTACCTAATCTATATACTAAAGTTATAGGGATCCGTCCTACTCCATTCAGTACTCCTCTGGTCGTATCCTTATCTAGTCTATTAACTAACCTTTTAGTTATCCGTCCTACTACATTCAGTACCCCTCAGGTCTTATCCTACCTACCCTATTTGCTAAACTTTTTTATTTCTCCGTCACTCTTACATATAAAACATTCATGGCATTATTGTTACTGCCCTAACAAAGTTGTTTAGTTTCATAATAGGTGTATGGATAAAAGTAGATATCAATTTCAAACGTCGATGATACACAGTTATTGTGCACAAACACTTATGTAATATAGTTAGTTTTTCTCTAAAGTTGATGTGAAAAGAAGTTTACACTGTAGTCATGATCATAACAGTAACTTTCAATCTTTATAGCAAAGTACGGTTGCATTAAGAAAAAGAATATTAGGTGTCCTTAAACTTAATTGTTATCATTATCGACGAAAAATGATTGTTTAGTATGTGTCAACGTCAATTAAACAGTTTCTTTGGATAATTTTTGTTTTGTGCTTATTTTAATTGTACATATTCCTACGCTCTTGATCTCGTTAAACAGAAAATGCTTAACATTATATTCACATAACATCATAATCAACGATTATGATTACTCCGCCGCGAAACTCCAAACGTATCGGTAGTAGTGTCAACCAGAAATAAGCAGGTTTGACCAATTCACTTTTTTATACTAATTTTATAAAATGAGTGTTAGAACTTTTCATATTACCGAACCTCTAGTGCGGTAAAAAAATGACAAAAATCATAAATATTTCATAAATGTTAGATTCTGTTTATTACACAACCTTATGCTTTTGCAAACATTCGTGAAAACCATATTTCATAAAACTGATATAAAAATCCAAACAGATGCTATTCTCACGCTATAGATTTAGTGACATCACAATGCATACAACGCCAAATAGCAGTAACGACACATCAGTCAAAACTTATAAGACTGATATACTATTTACAAATAAGATGAATTCCATCTTGTTAAAAACACGAACAACTTTAATTGTTTAAAACAAATCCCCCCTTTCTCTCTCTCTCTCGCAACATAAATCACGAACAAAATGTGTTATAGATATACTCATTCATGCGATATAACCTAACATATGATATACATATATATATATATACATAATTCTGTCTTTAGCAATAAACAAGTCCGATACGTGAAATAGAACACATTTAATAAAACAGTAGGTAGCATAGTGGTATTGTACTTAATCCAAAAGTATGGTATAAAGGATAAGTTTGGAATCAAAAAATATTAGAAATGCTGACATGAAAAATTATTCCAATTATTAGAATTGCTGATAATAAGACATATATAAAACATTGAAATAGATATTCTATTTGCTAGAACTGCTGATATAAATAGACACCTGTATAATGTAGCACAGGTGTTATTTTGAAGGAGGCGATAAAGGTAAAACAGCTATAGTCGATCAGTTTGCCACAAATACATGCCTATGACTATAATAAAAACAATATTCTGTGAATAAATTAGTAGACATTTGCACTATATGAATAGCATCGATAATGCAATGAAAACGTTTCTAAAGAACCACACAATGCAAATGCTATTTGAAGATGCATATTATCAGTTGCAGCCGACTCGTACGTTTTGATACCGTATCTCCCGTTTGTGTCCCGGAATGTTACCGTTTGTAGAGATGGGCACACGTTTCTTGAGAACAAACTGTTTAAATAACTTCCGTCCAATGCTTCGTGTATATTCATTTCTTTTTTTCAGCATAATCATTGAAGAAGTCATTCGGCACACACTTAAAGAATTTGAACTGTAAAGAAAATGAAGTAAATAATTTAAAATTTCACGTGAATGGTATGAATATCCTCTGAACTATCGACTATCGGAAATAAATCAAATCAGAGATAATAGACATCTAATTACTGATTCACATATCTCCAACAAATAACAACATACCTGTTTTTACATTGGCTGAACGCAATGACGCGTTGTTTCGTATATCAGCATGTTAAGCAGGTTTCGTGTGTAATAACTAACACCATATATACACATATACCAGTGTTATATACAAATATAGAGATATCAAATACGATAAAAACAAAAAGTTATACAAGAAAATGTTTTATATAATTTTTCATGATATCAATGATACGGGTTACAACTGTTATTCTGTGGTATATGTAATGTCGTAAAAGCTTACCTCATCAAAGTGGCCGACAAAATTTGTACACCCTTGCGCTGCTCCTATTACCAAGGGACTATTAGAGGTCTGCACCTCGGCCGCTGTGATGTAATAGATAACAAGTCTTAATAACAAAAGTACCATTAAAATTGTATATGTCCGACATCAGTGAAATAAACAGCATGCACGTGTTTATTACAATAGTATAATTAACAGCATCAAGCCTTGATTACAAAATATATTAGTCTGCAAGCCATAGCAACACCAGTATAATTGATAACATGCACAACGGGAAAAAGGGGGAAAAGGGGGAAAAAGGCAACAGTTTGAGACCAGAAACAAACTTTTCAGTTTATATGATAAAATCGATAAAAAGATCTATAGTAACTCAGGAGGCTTTAAGTCATTCCAATTTTAATTTTTAATTCATCATGTTATTTCATGGATACATAATTATCATTAGCTGGAGAAGTTTTCGTAGCTTTATTTCTTAATAAAGCAACTCAAATAAAGTAATTCAAATAAAGTAACTCAAATAAAGTAACTCAAATAAAGTATGGTGGCAATAGCGACACACCTCCCAACTTACGCAAACACAGCGAAGAAACATAAAGAGATATCAGCACACACGCTATTTTCCCAAGTCTAATTGACATATGATATAGACCTAAAAGCTACTGTTGTAATTAAACGCATCAAATTTTTATCACCAAACATCAGCCGATAGGTAGACATGTGTGGGATCTACTGAAAGCAGGGTCCTGATGACCATCTATCATGACTGGACTAGGGAATTCATTACCGGGACGTGTTTATCGCCTCAAAACAGCAAATAATAATAACCGGTAACAAAGTGACCTGTCATAAGCCTGAGGCCAAAGGTCAACACACGGCGCAGTCACCGAGATCGCGAGCAGCACATGTAATCATTTTATTAATTACTGATTAATGGGTGCAGTAATTACCTGTCTGTCTACATAGGATTATTATAGGTAGGGTATATGTTAATTGTGTACGTGTCTAACCACGGCCGTTTTGATATAACGATATTGATCTACCATGTGTATGAATTGTGTACGTGTCTAACCACGGCCGTTTTGATATAGCTGATATTGATCTACCATGAGTATGAATTGTGTACGTGTCTAACCACGGTCGTTTTGATATAGCTGATATTGATCTACCATGTGTATGAATTGTGTACGTGTCTAACCAATGTCGTTTTGATATAGCTGATATTGATCTACCATGTGTATGAATTGTGTACGTGTCTAACCACGGCAGTTTTGATATAGCTGATATTGATCTACCATGTGTATGAATTGTGTAATACGTACGTGTTTTCACCATGGTTGGCCTGATATTGTCAATACGTAGCTTTATCTTACTGCCATACTTTGCCAGACGAACGAAATGTGGTTTAAGAGGAAGCTACAAACATAAAAAATTATAATAATGCATCACATAGGTTAGATTAAACAAACACGGTTAGGTAGGCATTTAAAAACAATATTCTGTGTAATGTGAAACTGGTTAATATCGGAGTGACAGTTTTTGAAAAAATGATTAAATAATAGACGAAAAATTAATAGAGCAACATGGTTCATTTCACGTTTTCTGTGAGAGGCATCCATGCGAGATTGAACCACCAAAAAGAACGCCTGTTGTATCCGGCTGATTCATGTTTATCAATGAAGCCAAATAACTGATGCTGTCACAAAAATGAAATAATACAACACTGTTGTTAAGGTTAACATCGCTTCATTTTTCTCTCTTCATCATATTGGTGAAATTCCTTTAAAATTATCAAAATGAACCCACAAGCATGGATACGTACCACACCATTGACAACAAGATGTGCCGTTGTGCCGTCGTCCAGTTCTATATAGGCTTTGACCAGTGACTGGGCGGGTATGTAGGTGATTTTGTACGTAAAATCATTATCCTTGTATCCATTGGACAGCAACGCCACCTCGCCATTGTACACCTTCGCCATAAACTCGAAACAGAAAGCGAATTCCTTATCCAGGTTCATATTATTCATTGCCCATATCATGATCTGTCCACCTTCGCTAAAGAGTGCTGACTTCCGGTAGATGGCCACACCCGTATTAGGTACCTGCTGGATCCTGTTATAGGCCTCAAGGAAGTTACCGTTGTATTGAAAATGATACATTGGTTTGCAACCTGAAAAAGGTTTGATTAACGAGGTTAATCACCTGGGCAGTGATATACGACACAGTGAAAAACAATGATGACTTCACTATGTCACTACACCTATTGTGGCAACTTGTTTTTATTGAATACATCAAAACACTTTCTTGATTTTTTCATAAAATGGCGATATACATATTGTATCTGCGTATCAGGAAGACACTAGAATTATAGATATAAACGACCACGGAAAAAAACGAGAAAAAATATGTAAGGGAAAAAACTTGTACGAAGAAAAAAAAACTGCAGACTCGGCACGAGAGAGAACCTTACCTTCGTGATTACTTATGCCTGGAACAATCCAGTCACATGAACAGATATCAGGCCGGTACCATAATCCCTGGGGGCATTTCATGGGGTAGAAGATCTCCCTTCCGTCGTAAAGGTAGAACATCTCAGGACGGCCAGGAAAGGGGTAGGTCGTACCGTAAGAACATGCTAAGTTACCAAATATAGAGCGGTTTAATGGTAACAAAATCTATGAATCTTTATCCTGCAACCGCTTCGTGTATCAGCCGATAACTACTGCCAGATAAACCAGTACCTTTATCCGTCAGTACAAAGTGCTTTATCTGTCAATACGATTCATGTGAAGTTGTTCCGATTTTCACCGGACTATTTTCAAGTTGACCTGAACTTTGACCTATTGTGTCATGCTAACGTTAACAAACATGAGTAATGCCTATATATTTCATTGCGCATTGATATTTTCAAAAGGGGTAAATGCGCTTTTTATGAATGGAAATTTTCTTACGCCACGAAGTGAGGGCGCCGCTTCAGTACAAGCAAAGGTAAACAATATTGCGCTGTACTCGTTTTATGTAAACATTGTTGAAAATGGTTGCAGGATAAACAGAATACATGGTCAGTATCGTACAATACAAGGTTTATTTTTGACGAGGGTTAGAAAAGACTGAGATGGCTATATTCTCTATTTATCTACATCAAGTTATTGCATTATAAGTGATATTTCTCATTGAAGTAAAGCTTTCAATTTTTCATCAGCATTTCGACGGTCGAAATATGTCTTTATACCACGCGTTATTGTTTAAATGTTTTAACATAATGCTTAAATAGAATATCTGAAAGTATCACTGTTTTTGTAATAGGTCATATTGGTAGATAAACTGATAATTCAATTATTCAATTTTTCGCTGCCTACTTACAAAAAAATGACAACCTAGTGCATAATACTCACGGTGGATGAGGTTGTTTTTCTGACAGGTGTCGTCAGATATACAGATTTGCTCGTTTGAGTTAAAATAGAACCCGTCCGGACAGGTATGGTACCGGGACTTGCCTTTCACACACTTGTAGTAACCATAGCAACTCTGACCATCCGTATATTTAAACCCAGGCTCGTGAGCCTGGCAAGGATCTGAAAATAACATTGCCAAATTATTGAAATATTATGTAAGTGTGAAATTATTGTATGGAAGGAAAAATAGCAGCCCGTGAACATGATTTGCTTATTTTTAGTTGCGTGATAATTAAAGGCCATACTGCATTGCACTGCATATATCAGACTTAATTAACTTTAGTACCTGTTCTTATTAGCTAGTGTTGTATCACAAAAAATATTATTAAAGAGCAGGTAGATATCGTACACCAAACTGAGGACCCAACAGTGATCCTTATGTCTTCATAACGTTACACATCTACAGACCTTACAGCATCAGGCAAATAAACAAAGGTAGATATCGTACACCAAACTGAGGACCCAACAGTGATCCTTATGTCTACATAACGTTACACATCTACAGACCTTACAGCATCAGGCAAATAAACAAAGGTAGATATCGTACACCAAACTGAGGACCCAACAGTGTTCCTTATGCCTACATAACGTTACACATCTACAGACCTTACATCATCAGGCAAATAAACAAAGGTAGATATCGTACACCAAACTGAGGACCCAACAGTGATCCTTATGTCTACATAACGTTACACATCTACAGACCTTACAGCATCAGGCAAATAAACAAAGGTAGATATCGTACACCAAACTGAGGACCCAACAGTGATCCTTATGTCTACATAACGTTACACATCTACAGACCTTACAGCATCAGGCAAATAAACAAAGGTAGATATCGTACACCAAACTGAGGACCCAACAGTGATCCTTATGTCTACATAACGTTACACATCTACAGACCTTACAGCATCAGGAAAATAAACAAAGGTAGATATCGTACACCAAACTGAGGACCCAACAGTGATCCTTATGTCTACATAACGTTACACATCTACAGACCTTACAGCATCAGGCAAATAAACAAAGGTAGATATCGTACACCAAACTGAGGACCCAACAGTGATCCTTATGTCTACATAACGTTACACATCTACAGACCTTACAGCATCAGGCAAATAAACAAAGGTAGATATCGTACACCAAACTGAGGACCCAACAGTGATCCTTATGTCTACATAACGTTACTCATCTACAGACCTTACAGCATCAGGCAAATAAACAAATACAAAAAGTAAGGAAATCAAGCTATTTCTAATAGTGTTTGGACGTGTACGATAAATATTGTGTTACCATACGGACAGTAGACCTCCGCTGAATGTCGACAGGAAGTGCCATCATAGAAGGTTCCGGCTGCGCATGTCAGAAGGGACGCCATGTTGTCGCTGTTACACTGGAGGTACTGGTTACACGAACCATAAATTGGTCGGTAAGCCCAGCCACCCTTCGTCTTGTAGTTATTGCACATTCCTCCAGCATCAACTGTTCAACGTAAAAAACCAAACAAGATTAGGAGCTTTCCGAAAATCTTTCTTCGTTGATTCATACAAATCATCGTTGTTGATAGTTTCCTGTCGTAGTCCTCTAAAGACCGTCAAGTAATGTGCATAAAATAACAAAACTATTTTTCTGATTTCCAGATGATGTTAATCGAATTAATTTGAGTCCTTCCTCTTAATGGATGTAACTTTCAGCATTTATACTTATTTCTTATAGAAATGACGGTAAATTTTGATCAAACACGTCAATCCGGCATTGGTCGATAAGTGGGAATAGATAATTCATACACAGGAATATATACAACATGCATACGGCATTCCGATATCAGCGCTATCATGCATATTTATGTGATTACTATTTATAAATAATGAATAATGATAAATAGGTGACAATAAAGAGCGATAATGATTACTACAGCTAAAAATTCATAAATTAATAGTCTATTACAATCATTAATCACTTCAAAGAAAACCTGACCCGGCGACATGTCGAACTAGACAGAGAAAGTATGGAGAAAAAAAACAGATCATTTCTACTAGATTAACAGAAACAACACAAACAGCGAAAAACAAATTTACAACATTGAACTTCGGCGACGTGGAAATGAACACAAGTACGAACAGGAGGACGAACATGGGAGAAAGATTCAAACACATTGGGACGGAGAGGAAATAAACAGCCGCTGATGGTGTACTGCAGACGCATGCATTTGAGAAGGGTTCATCAATGAATTTCAGTAGCTATAATTATATAGATTATTGTAAATGAATCGTCCTAAGATAGGTATCTCACTAATATAGACGAACGACCCTTAACCAGTACGCTATGATTTCTCGTCAAATGGCTAGGATCTAACACTATGGTTATAATACAGAGCTATGTACTACAGTAGTACCGTCTTTCTCCACTGGTTCTTGGGTCAGAAACTCCGGCCGGTCAGGTTGGCCAGGGTACTGGCCGATAGATAGTCTACTTGGTTTCATATGGTATTTGCCATCGGCTCCAGATACAAACTGACCGTCTGTCTGTACAGCCGGTCCAGCAATAGGTTGGCTAGCAAAGTATTCTTGGGTTTGGTCAACAGTCGGGACACCTGCTTTCACACTACTTCCACTAAGATGTGCGGTAGCATGAATCTGCTGACCGAGTAAACCCCCATCTCCCTGAACAAATGACTGACCAGTGAATTGATTACTCCTTTGACCATTCATCTGACGAAACTGTAGGTAACGGTCATCGTCCTGGTCGCTATGTATAGCTGACGTTTGAGTAAACGGCTGACCAGTATATTCAAACTGGTCATCCTCTCTCTCGCTTGATTGACCACTTGTCTGAATGGTATGTGGCACTGAATACTGGTTTGGAGAGAAACTGTTTAAGGCACTTAATTGATTACCTGCAATGCCGTCGTTGGACTGATCACTTGACTGGAATGTATATGACACAACATTCTGACCATTAAAAAGACCACCTGACTGCCGACCTTTTTCATAAGTGTCATCATTTTTATCGTTTAAATGACCGCTTGATTGAATTGTAGATGGTACCATATTTTGTGTCGCAAATTGACTATTGAAACTACCAATTTGACCGGCCGTTTGACCAATAGGTAAGTATTTGTCATCGCTATGATATTTTTTATCGTCTAACTGACCACTTGATTGAATTGTATATGGTATAATATTTTGATTGACGAACAGACTATTAACACCACCTTGGTCATCTGACTGATCTGTTGTCGCATATTTACCAGTGTTCTGGTAATTGTTGTCTTTGGACTGACCAGAATGACCTTGGGAAGTACCTGTTTGACCCCCAGCCAGACCAACAGGTAAATATTTGTCATCATTTTTATCGTTGTTCGGACCACTTGACTTAATAGTGTATGGCATGTCATTTTGAATAACAGCTTTGCTGTTCGAAACACCTATGTTTTGGCCAACCTGTACATATTGATCATTAGCAGATTGACCATTTAAAAGAATACCGCCTGTTATACTTTGGGAATGGTCAGTTTTTACACCAGATGGCTGACCAATATTTGTACTGATATGTTGATTACTCTTGTGACTAGACGGTAAGTAATGGTCATCTTCTACCTCTATAGCCATGTTGCTGGAATGAGTAAATGGTTGGACAGTCTGGACGCTGATTTGGCCAGCAGAGTGACTTTTAAATTGACCACCGGGTTGAGGAACAAACTGACCAGTGTTCTGGTTAGTGAATAAACCTGATGGTGTATAAACAGTTTTCTCTGCCACCTGACTTGGACTTTGCCATCCGGTTTGGCCATTTGCCTGATGTATAGTGATGTATTGGTCATCTGAATCGGCCGGTTTATTTTGTATCTGTTCACCTGAGCTAATTAAAGTACGACTATTAAATTGACCAGTGTTCTGACCAACCATTTGACCACCGGATGGACTGACGTAGACGTATTGAAAATCTTCCTTATCATCAGACTGACCCACGAACTGACCAGTATTCGGGCTAATGGTCCTACCACCAGTCTGACTACCGGTCAATTTACCTGTAAATGCAAGGTCATGACATGTATAAAACTGACCATTGCATGTAAATCCATGAGCATAATACGATCATTATGTGTTTTGTTAGGAATATACACAGCTTATAGATACATTACCTGTGTGATCTAAATGTTCGGGCGAAATACACTCCTTTTTACATGTACAATGTAATTACTTGCTTGAATCTACAATTGGTACATTTGAAAAAGAAGAAAATAATTCTTGGAAAAAACAAAAACAAAATAAGTGACTCAACTCAGGTGAAAGTTTTTTTTCTGAATAGCATCTGATGTGCCAGCATGATTATAAAAACTGCAGTTTTCAGGGAAGTCAACAGTTTATTTAATGTTTTGACATTGTTCCTGACTTAGATATAACAAAGGAAGTAGAAATTTAATTTATATGTTATTTTTTTAATTTGTGTTGATAATAAATGTTCATACTAACCGTACTCTGAAACAATGTAAACTCTCGCAAACAATGACCATTATTACTTAAACAACATAGAAATGGACAAATAATGCAGTGTTTCTGACATCACGAAATGCTTAATTAAACAGAAATTGTGTGAAACCGATAAATCGTCTTGTTGTTCCTTCTTACACTCTTACAAATGGTTGAGACCCAAAAATGCATGATATTCAGGCCGAATACAAAACTTGTTAAAATATGTAAATTATTGAAAATGAGCACATCAAACGAGTAAACGTATAATAGGACTTCTGGCTAATGTCCAAACCTAACAAATGTTCTCAGTTGTAAACTGGGTCGATGGTATCCAATAAAAAGCCTTATTACGCAAAGAAAAGATAACATGTTCGTGTTTTACCATGCCCTAGAACTGGGAATTGTGGACATGTCAAACTCTTCTACATCAGTTGCTTACCTCTATCTTTTCCAACATTGAAACCAATAGGAACAGCTCTCTAACAAGCTGTGTGATACGCGTGATGATGAATCAATTTACCTATTGTTAACCTGCACCCCGGACTTATGGTGTTTACATGTCGCATTTGATTCGGTATTCACAACACAGAGAAGAAACGATGGGGACTGATTGATATTACGGGGGAGATTTACGGTTGTCATCATGACATCATTGGGAAATATTCTACTTCCTTGTTCGATTTGAAGTTAGAAGTGTTTGGTGTTTGTGAATGTGCCAGGTTGTTCGATGGTTGTTAACCCTTTTCTCGTTTTGAAAACGTGACATTACTTACTTGGATTTACCAAGATTTGAACAGCGGCTGACGTCGATGAATCAGAAGACGCTTACTCTTCCAGAACACCTGGTCTTATTCTTTCAGTAGTATTGTATCGTTTGATACAAATAAAATGAAGTCTGGCCTAATTTGGCTGTATTTTTGGACTGTATGGTTGAATATAGATAAAACGAGGTCTGACTTACTTTTGCTGTAGATTTGAATATAAATAATTAAAAAATCAAGAAAATACCAAAATGGCAACATAGCCATAATCCAAGATCAAATTCCATAAACCTAGGGCAAAATATGAACAAAAGAAAGATTTACACGGAGACTCCAGAAAAAGTACAAGGAGAATAAGACCATGTGTTCCGGAAGAGTAAGCGTGTTATTTTCATCGACGACATCCGCCATGTAAACCTTAAACCCAAGTAAGTAATGTCACATTATCAAATGAAAACAAGGTATACAACAATGGAACCAACAAGAAAACTAACGAGATTCAAACACGTCCAGCTTCATATCACACAAAAGAGATAGAATATTTCTCTTTGAGATCACTATGACAGCCATGAAACTTCCGTTTCGTCGTAGGAAAAGATCGAGATAAGCAGCTGATGTAGAAATCCGCCGTGTCTTTGATTTTTAATCTGGTGAATATATACGATGGACGAGTCAGTAAATTTCTTGCTATTTGAAGACAATGCGTCATCGATATATCTGAAAGTCAAATTATACGACTTTGTAACCTGTTTTAATATAGATATCATTTGACCTGACTTACCTTGGCTGTAGTGTTCGTAAGGGTTGAAGAAGCTGACATCACTGTCTCCAAACTCTATTTCTCCACTGTCATGATCAGACATTGACGGACGGCAAAGGACGGCAAGAGTTAGTAAAACAACTGTTGGGTACATCTTCATCGTATGTCGTGTGAACCTGTAGGTCTAAACAAAAGATACAGGGTAAAACAGCACAGAGTTACTTTCCTATCGGCATGCCTTCATCTGAACACTGTAGTTTTACTATTACTTTCTTTATCGTTGTACAAAGAACACCGTTATGAATATCACCTTACTATAAAAATCTAGAATAAGATACAGAATTATAAATACAAATTATGAATTATGTTGCATCATACAGCTGTTCCATCTCTCTAGGACTCGCCAGTGATGCTAAGGGCCTAGATTTTAAAACCTGGGAGGCGACTGATGACTAGATTTAATGTGAAGTAAAGCAATATTTATTGACATTATAGGTTACGGTTACTTTGAAAACAAATCATTGATTTCCGCCCGAATGAGGTTACTATGTTACAAAAGATCTAAGATCTCGGCGCGTCAAGATTAACTACCTAACATTATATATCATCCGTCTGTTATCGAGTTAATTCGCCCATGTAATTTTTTGTCTATCTCACTGTTTTGATATACGCAGGAGTGTTTTTTTTTACTGGATGGGCCAGTCATAAATTGATTGTGATGTCATAATATGGAGAATGACGTTACGTCATGAATTGAACGAGTCACATCAAAATGGCTGCCTCCGTTTCACTTTACGATGTCAAAATGTAACCTTGATCCGAATTATCTTATAAAAAAATGTCTTAAGTTCGTTTTCATTTCCTCAGTTTTAATTGTAGTCGCCAAGGATCGCAAATTGAAAATATATGTATTACTCTTTTCTTAAACAAGACGTATCATTTCCAGAGTCTGGACATATATTTTTAGGAATTTAAATCAATTTTTTTAAAAGATTTGATGAAACGAATCGTAGAAGTTTTTATTTTCGTGGGTATTGGCAAAAGTTGAGATCATTTTTATTATGTAACTCTAAAAAAAGTTATATTTTGAGATGTTTTAAGGAGAAATGTGGGGGACAAAATGAAACGGAAGCAGTCATTTTGTAGTGCCACTTTCAATTAATGACGTAACGTCATTTAAATACATCAAAATCGATTTCTTACCGGCCATCCAATGAAAAAAGTCCCAGAGTATATTACACCTGTGATATACAGGGGAAATAAAACAAGGCGGAATTCACCTGGTGGATTATAACAGATCTTACTTCATATTACTACTTTATATGTTTTATCCACGTCTGTTTCGTGTAACTCTCTATGAAGATCGTACGATCACAGATAACACAAATTTGTTCTCTTTTATCAAAGCTTATTAAAAGTTAAGTAGTAATATACAAGTAATATGTTCATAGTGTAATTTATAGTCTTTTATCATTTTCCTTGTCGAGTTGTAGCATTATAGATAAATAGCTATAAATCTTGTTTTATGACAACGAAGGTTAAAAAAATACATGAAATTATGATTTTAAGCAGCAAACCAGGAAATGCGTCTTATTGTAGAATCGTGAAAGACTTTTGAAGTACCCAGCTAATTGTAGGGATTTTATGTGTAGAAAACAAAACTACACAATTAGCTGTGAAACATTTACTTGTAGAACTTTATGGTTATCATGATAAGAAATCTACTTTAATACCAGTTTAGTAAGAATAGATTGTCTGTACAAAATTTCTGCTTATAGAATTCCCATTAAAACAGGCTTTTAAACAACCGATATGTTTATATAAACGACACAGTATGAAATAGGTAGATAAAGTACTGACATTAGAGATAATTATCACTGTTAGTATTAATCAGAGATCTGCTTTAAATGATAATACCTACCTCTGTATTATATGTCCTGTGTTAGTGACCTCTCTCCTAGTGTTCCTTCTCTCACGATGTCCTGCCACAGAATGCAGATGTTCCTAAGTGTGTGCACCTTACTGTCCGTACTGGATAGGACGTTAACCCTAATTAGCATAATGTGTTGGTATCCATGAAGTTGCCGACTGGACGATACGACCTGTGCATTACCTGTGACAGCGTACCTGGTTTTACCATTACACACCACATGTATACCTGGTCCTAATCAGGGATCGTACACTTTACCTCGAAATGCTTTTTTCTTTATTACATTAATTACTGGTTATACATCTGTTTCACTGCGTTTTATTGGTTTAAAACTACATTAATCATTGTAATGATACATACTCAAGGTCATACTGATATGTTTAGAGGTCAAACATGACAAATACTTATGTTTTGTTTCTGCCTTTTAAGTGCATTTCATCATTTTTATCAGTTTTATTTTCGTCAAAATATTCAATGAACTGGAAAAAAGTAATGAATTGAACTTTACGACTTGCAGGACTGTTCATCAGAGTAGGTATTGGTAATTTACTGTGAAGAGTTGTAGAGGTGAGAATTGAATGGTCAGCTAATGCAGTTCGTGTAATTTTTGTGGAAAACACTTTGCTGATATTTAAGCTTGTTTATGGATTCAATAATGACATCATATTCTTTTATTACACGAGTTTATTGTAATATACGCATTTTCACTGTAAAATAAACAAAGCTGAAGCTACCAGTGAATCCTGTAGTTCTACCAACTCCATCCTCTATATTCTGGATATCTAATGTCCGTTTTGCTAGCATATTTCTATATCTAAATTTTCATGAATAAACTGGTTCATCTATATCTATTAATTTAATCTTCTTTGATGAGAATGATAAGCCTAAACCTAAGAATTATATATGTTTCCGAAAACACCACTGCAACCTGGGTATATTTTCTCAAGGTCTACATTTGCAAATTTCTGTACCAATAATTATTGTAAATTTCCCTTTTAAGTCTACTGTTTATTTTTTTTTTTTTTTTTTGTTTCTGCCAAGTTTCATTTTCCCCGGCTGACTTCGAGGCATTTAACTCCGAACATCATATGATGGAGTTTAATTAAAAATGACATTAAATACTTAAATTAAATTTTCCATTAAAAGATGCTCCTTTTATACAGGGTTGCAACTCACTTAGATAACATTCAAATGGAAAGTGTAGGGTGTTTAAAACAGAAGTATTGGAAAATGCGTACATTTGTGTTATTAAACTGTTTCCCCTTTTTATTCGTTTATTTAAGTTTTGTTACAATGAAATATATTTTCAATCTTTACAAAACTCCTGGAAGTCAGTCATCGTGAACTAACCATAAAAACAGAGTTTTGTCAAAGTATTTAAGATATTACCTTGTTTTATTTCCGTTTTATTACATTAAAAAGTTTTATACAATGAGATGTTTCCGAGAACCCCCGATCAGTGTACACAGTACATTTCAATGTAACTCAATTGTACAGCCTGCATGCAAATATATACTAGCGGAAAAAATAAAGTGTATGTGTATAATGTTCGTGTGTTGCTCAATTTTATCAATTTAAGTTTGAAACTTTACTAATTATCCGTACAACTCATTATTGACCAGTGTAAATGACGGAGAGGCATGCACAACTTACATGTGTCTGACACACTTTTTCTTTTCACGTTTTTTTTTCCCGGCTAGCAGTCGAACACGTTTGTTGCCTAAACCTGTAACACACACAACAGTTGCTACACAATCTGTTATTCCGGTCAATATTTCTATACCTACCGGTTTCTATTGCACGATTACGAGCAGATGCACGAAGTGTCGAGATTTCTGTGTTGTTTTGGAAGAGATTTTGTTTAGTAAAACTGTATTGTTAAAACATCTGCCTTAGCCGACACTAGTCACATTTACTATAAGTATTGAAAAAATGAAACACATTATGTTTGACCTGATCGTGTATGCATTGCATGATTTACTGGTAGTAAGACGATATCGGGAGGAGTCTGCCTTTACCATAAAAAGCATAATTTAAGTTCAGATCAGTCGTGCTTCACAAATACCTGGCAATTATGTGTTGGGTTTTCCTTTTATTTTTATAGAAACTGATATTTTGCTTTCAAAATATGATTATCACAGTTTAACAACTTGAACCAGTATAAAAAATTTCAGAATAAGTGATGGTCACAAAAAGCTTGTTTAGGTAGGTAGTCAGTCAATCAGTTAGTTAGGTCAGTCAGGCAGTTAGTCAGCCAATCAGTCAGTTAGGTTAGTCAGGCAGACAGGCAAGCAGGCAGCCAGGCAGTTAGTTAGTTAGTTAGTTAGTTAGTTAGTTTTCCGTCTCCATGATTCTTCCTGTTGCTAAATGTTGTCTCGCGACGTGACAGGCTGACCTGCATTCCCCTCGTGGAGTGAAACCGTGAGTACTTCGTGTTGATATTGAGTAGTTTGAAGATGTCGATTCCTTCGTCCCCTGAAAGGCCGTGGTAGCGGACGCACAGCCCGTTATATAGATAGGTTCCCGATCCTGTGGTTGAGCATTCGAAATAAAGTGCGTGTTTCTTTTCCCTTATCTCTTTTCTTGGTAGTCGATGTCTCGTTACGTCACAAACTTGCTTCATTAAAATTAATACAAGACAGTGAATTTAATCACAGTCAAGTTAATCACTATCCACCTCCATACCCGTGACTGTTTGTGTTCCCACCCGTGACTGTTTGTGTTCCTACCCGTGACTGTTTGTGTTCCTACCCGTGACTGTTTGTGTTCCCACCCGTGACGGTTTGTGTTCCTACCCGTGACTGTTTGTGATCCTACCCGTGACTGTTTGTGATCCTACCCGTGACTGTTTGTGTTCCTACCCGTGACTGTTTGTGTTCCTACCCGTGACGGTTTGTGATCCTACCCGTGACGGTTTGTGTTCCTACCCGTGACTGTTTGTGATCCTACCCGTGACGGTTTGTGTTCCTACCCGTGACTGTTTGTGTTCCCTACCCGTGACGGTTTGTGTTCCCTACCCGTGACGGTTTGTGTTCCCTACCCGTGACGGTTTGTGTTCCCTACCCGTGACGGTTTGTGTTCCTTACCCATGACGGTTTGTGTTCCTTACCCATGACGGTTTGTGTTCCTTACCCATGACGGTTTGTGTTCCTTACCCATGACGGTTTGTGTTCCTACCCGTGACGGTTTGTGATCCTACCCGTGACGGTTTGTGTTCCTACCCGTGACTGTTTGTGATCCTACCCGTGACGGTTTGTGTTCCTACCCGTGACTGTTTGTGATCCTACCCGTGACGGTTTGTGTTCCTACCCGTGACTGTTTGTGTTCCCTACCCGTGACGGTTTGTGTTCCCTACCCGTGACGGTTTGTGTTCCCTACCCGTGACGGTTTGTGTTCCCTACCCGTGACGGTTTGTGTTCCCTACCCATGACGGTTTGTGTTCCTACCCATGACGGTTTGTGTTCCTACCCGTGACTGTTTGTGTTCCTACCCGTGACTGTTTGTGATCCTACCCGTGACGGTTTGTGTTCCTTACCCATGACGGTTTGTGTTCCCTACCATGACGGTTTGTGTTCCTTACCCATGACGGTTTGTGTTCCCTACCCATGACGGTTTGTGTTCCTTACCCATGACGGTTTGTGTTCCCTACCCATGACGGTGTGTGTTCCTTACACATGACGGTTTGTGTTCCCTACCCATGACGGTTTTTGTTCCTTACCCATGACGGTTTGTGTTCCTTACCCATGACGGTGTGTGTTCCTTACCCATGACGGTTTGTGTTCCCTACCCATGACGGTTTGTGTTCCTTACCCATGACGGTTTGTGTTCACTACCCATGACGGTTTGTGTTCCCTACCATGACGGTTTGTGTTCCTTACCCATGACGGTTTGTGTTCCCTACCCATGACGGTTTGTGTTCCTTACCCATGACGGTTTGTGTTCACTACCCATGACGGTTTGTGTTCCCTACCATGACGGTTTGTGTTCCTTACCCATGACGGTTTGTGTTCCCTAACCATGACGGTTTGTGTTCCTTACCCATGATGGTTTGTGTTCCCTACCCATGACGGTGTGTGTTCCTTACCCATGACGGTTTGTGTTCCTTACCCATGACGGTTTGTGTTCCCTACCCATGACGGTTTGTGTTCCCTACCCGTGACAGTCAAGTTAATCACGATCCAGCTCCCTGACGTGACTGTTTGTGCTCCCTATCCGTGACGGTTTGTGTTCCCTACCCGTGACTGTTTGAGTTTTACATGAAGCTTGCAGTGCTGTTGTGCTTCTAAGTTCAAGCTCTATATGCCTTTAACTTTACGGCTTATAAGATGTAAAATCAACTGAACATATATAAACACCCACAAATATGTACATACAAATACAGAGATGGTCATTATGAGTTTATTATATTAATTATTTCAATTGAAAGAGAGCGTTTGAAAGTTGCAAGTAAGCAATAAATTATCGGTTTTTCAATTTTGCATTGCTTTTTTCTTTCCTTGGTTCCTTTGGCAAGACACGGTGGCCTCCAGGTATTATACAAAAGGAATTCGTCTATATGTTATCCTAACCGGTCATCAGGCGGATAAATCAGCCGGGCAAAAGGCTCAGTTTGCGGAAGACTTCAACTCATCGCGGAATTGAAGTGTGAGGAGGAGGTCAGTTCCACACTACATTGTACTTGAAAGCACATATAGGAGGTAGAAACTTATTTTTTACGTTGTTTTTGTTAACAAAATCTTTAAGTTATCGTTTTAATAGATCCTGCAAAAGGTTATGTACTCTTAATAACATTATTATATATACAATTTTTTTTTGACAAATCCTATGTAACCAGGTGTACGTAATTCTCTATGTCACTATTAGCACGAGCTGTGAGAGTCTGCGAGAGTTTAGCATGCGCGTGTCGCAAAGCACCTGCTCTCGGATTCCAGTTACGTCGTTCCGCACCTGGCCAGCACCGTGTGCACATGCACATTCCCCACTTGTGAGTATTGGTCCAGTATGTAATATTGCGTTGTAGGTTAATCATAATTAACTGTTTATGTTATATGTAACTGTGATGCATGTAATGTGCATAGCTGGCTCCTGTTTTACCAGAAATAAAGTGCGGTACAAGAACCCCTGACGTCTTCGTCTTCTGTTAAATGGCCCTGCATTTAAAAGGTTACACATTGTACCATGTATATATTGTTTTAAATGTTTCATGTTTATGATTTGAAATATGGGCAAGAATTCGCTAATGAAATTTTAGTGTCAAAGTAGTTTATCCAATAAAAAACAAACAAAATCATGCAAGTATGGAGAATAAACATTGCTTAAATATTGAAGTTGGTTTATTTTTATCGTCATATGAAAAAACAAATTGATCTAATTGATTAAATAACAAGAAAGCAGCACAAGTTGTACGCCGCCAGTGGATAAATTATAGACAAAAAGTGTGACATTTCTGCAGTAGTGAAACTCCGAGCCGTATTTATTAAATGCTTGAAGAATTGTGGTGCTGTAAAAGTTGTTAATCAACTGCAAAATGGTCGGTATATCGATAAAAACGCTTGTTTTGTACAGGATTTGATTAATGCTGTAAAAAAAGGGATTGAAAATAGACCAATGTACTTAACTTTTCGCGTCAACAAACGTTAAGTGCACGTTTCCCTCAGTAAAGTTTGGAAACGCAACATCGACACGGCATTTACAAATTTACGAAGTGTCAACACCAGGTACGATATGATTATCGTAATTTTCATCAATCAACTGGAGTTCGGAAAATATATCAGGTAATAAAATATCATTAATTTTTGTGTCCAAACTACCCTTTGGAACAGTTGTTTTTCTGTAACAGATTGCGTAACGATAATGTTTTTTGCGATATTTCGACCCGCTCCCAGTAACGTTAACACGTGACTATGCAGTTTTCCAAAATAGTGTCTATCGGTGTAGAGGAACTCGAGGAGACCACGGAACCTGGTAATTCTGATCACGTAACCAAGTGTTACGCACACATTCGGAGTAAAATATGATCTTTGATAATGTTGTGTGATTTTTTTTTCTTTGTATTTAAAAAAAAAAACAAACAAAAACAAAAAACAAAAAAAAAAAAAAAAACCCAGTTTATCTGGTATTTGAAACAGATTTGACCTCACGATAGCGATTTTTTGGTGGGAACGATTTCCGTACGTATCCTTGACCCGAAAATAAATAGTTGCATGTTTTTGGTGTCAATGTTGCATGCAACTACTTAAACGATATTATATTTGAGATATGTAGGAGTATAATTATAATTTACATACATATAGTGTATTGGGGGATTTTTATATGTTTTTAATAGCATTTCTGGCATGCTTTATAATTCATATTTTTTGTGACCATGTTACATGCTACATATGTGTAACTACTTTATAACTGAAATGAGAAGGTTTCAAAAATATTGATAGAATTTTCTTTTTACGACAGTAACACAATGAAAAAATGACTTTTCTTGTTTACCAAGAACATAGTTCTGATTATACTTAATAATTGCATGTAACATTGATAGAACAATCAGAGGAAACCTGTTCTCATAGAATTTCTGAAAAAAAGGGTCAAAGAACCATCAATCTCAGATTGGGAATAGTGTCAATGTTACATGCTCTAAATTCATTAATTATCTTTGTTCTTAACTGAAGTAAGTTTCAAAACGATTTTTTTTACACATAGAAAGACACCATTTATAGTTATACTTCAAACAAAATTTGTAGGCTTATGAATATTTTAATTTTTTTTCTTGAAATGTCACACTTAGGGTTACATTAGCTAATTCTTGCCCATATACGTTTTGTCATGAGAGGTCCAACATTAAGTTCCTGCTTTAAGTATCAATATTTGTCCACATTGTAAAATAATAATGAAAAAACACATTCTCATTTCCTTGAACATAAAAACCCAAAAATCCATTAAGTTTATGTAATAGGGTAATTAATTGAATTGGTATGTTACATGTTGATTTGTCTGCAAGCAAATTGTGTGATTGGTATTTATATTCATTGTTTGTAAATGATGACTGTACTAGTAATTATTGTTTATTTCATATTATAGACAATATAGTTAATAGTACTTTTATAGTTTATATTTCATAGCTAATGTAACTTGTGAAAATATACGAGTTAGCTCCCTTCCCTGTAACCCTACTCTGTGTAATTGTATTGTACATGTTCATTTCAGAGTGTCTACATTCATATCGATGTTAACTGTCAGGGAATACTTAACTCACGAAAACAATGACTTGGTGATTTTTAAATTCCCGGTAACATTTATATCAACATGGGTCAATGAAAAAAAAAATATTCTGAAAACATATTAAGTTGTACTTTTAAACTAGGCATTGATACGAGACTGCGGCTGTTATTTTCGATTATCTCCCCTAGCGGAACTGACGTGATTGGCGGAAAAGTTTAAAAAGAATTGGAGCAAATTGATAAACAAACAGCGGTTAATATAACATTTTGGGCTATGTCTTTTTGATTTCTGTGTCCGAGACGTTTCAGGAAGTTCTGATGAAAATTTATTAGGTAAAGTATTCGCCATAATTCGACTGTACTTCATTTTGCCGAATTCAGTACTATTTGTAATATACTTTCCCGCTTTCTCGTATATGCAGAAACACCGACTCGCCCTCATATTGACTAGGACACGTTTAGTCATTTATTTTAAAAATGATGATACCTATCTTAACATACATACTAAATGTGCAGATATCATCGACTATAAGACTATGCGTGTCCCTCTAAGATCCATACAAATTTTAAATGTGAATTAAAATTCCATGCACACGTCGAAACGAATATGCAGATATTTATACCATGGACTTGCACATATGTCTAAGTTAATGCAGTTCATGTTGATAAAAGAATCGCAAGACTTTATCAAAGATAGTCAAAAAGCCAAATGAGATCAGTGGGTCTGTGGCCACATTTGACAGTCTATGGATTGGAGCAGTAGGGGTTGCATTGGGCATAATAACAAGGACAGGTGTACCAATAATCATATGTATGATAAAGTTACCGATTAGTATTTCATCGCTGTTATCATATAAGACTATTCTATATACATCAACTGTACATGACCCTGTGGTTTAATTTCAGACTTCAAGAACTCTAATTCCATGGTTTGATCTTGTCAATCGTGTTAGCAGAGTCCTTTTTAATTAAAATGGAAATCCATATATTTTGAAAGAATTCCATGTGGTCTTTTGATTTTCAATATACATGAAAAAGCTAAAGGGACAGTCCAAACGTAAACTCAGGAACAGTGTTTTCTGCACATTAGAAAAGACTTACAGAATATTAAACCCCAAGTGTTAAAAGTTAGTCTTATAACATATGAAGTGTTATTTTTAATGTTATTTATACTATGCTCTGTGTGTGCCCTGGTCTTGATTGAACCATTAGAAAAGTCTTGTCTCTCTTCAATCTTAAATGGCCATTGGCATAATACCATTACTCGCCTTATCTTCCCATTGTTAAGGTACAGAAACTGTTCTTTTGACATATAAATTTATGGAAATTTTTTCCCATCTTCTTGCTTGGGAAAAGATATTCGCATAATGTACCTGGTATCATCTTTATGTAAAAAGACACTTCAAGAATGGCTTTGTATGCTTTTAATATGACATTACACCTTGCAGGAAGAGTTTGTCTTTACTTTATGAGATTTATCACAATCTTATTGGATGATATATTGGATAGGTGAATAGCTTTTATCTGCTGTATCATGGTATTTTCATCTGTCCATTTTCAGCTAATTTTATCATCATCATCATCATCATCATCATGATCCATCTGTAACCCATCATCATCATCTGACATCATCAACATAATACCATAATACAAACAAAATCGATATCCATGATTTGGCAATCGTTATCATCATACATTATCATCACTTTCATCATCCATCAGCAACATCTTATACCCTGGCAATCAAACATCAATCTTAATTCATCGATAAGCAAAAATCATCATCATTAATTCATTATGTCATTCTTATATAGTCACCATTGTTCAATCATTATCAATCATTCCAACTTTACAATCAAAATTTCATGGTCATCAACATCAATCCATTCAACTTTACAATTATCATAACACATATATCAGACAATTGTTTACCATCTCTGTCCTCACTCCAAACACTACCCTGATGGAAAGCTGTTATTCTGATTTTATTTATTATTTTTTTTTAGAAAAGAAAGGGAATATAGATAAAGAGAAAGGGGAGGGGGGGGGGAGAGAGAAAATATATTGTATTGGGGTAAAACAAGTTCGAGAACTCAAATTCAAAGGCAGAACCATCATTTCAGTGCTTATAATCTTAAACTGTCAAGGTCTAGGAGAGAGAGAGAGAGAAAAAAAATTACTGTATTAGTACAGATATTACGTTTAAAGGATTAGAACTTTTCTCAACTCTTCATTAAAACACTCAACGAAATGGTCTACCTTAGCTGTAGCTATATGTATTCAATATTATGGTGATCCTTTATTAAGTTTACAAGTGCAGTTATGTTTAGAGTATTGTTCAAACATGTAGATTTATGAATATACTGTTCAATAACATTGTTAATTTCATTGTCAATATTACTATACACATTTTTGACAAACAAGAAACCATATATAAAGGACTCTTTGGTGTGTGTAAAAGGGATGAGCAGTGCTTCTAAGAGTATTTCTAAACTTTGTTTAATTTTGAACATTTTTTTACAATTGTAATAAATTGATATATATTTCAGACTTAGAAGAAATCTAGAATAACCAGCCAAAATGCCATTGAAAAAGCAAATGTCGATGAAGGAAATCTTTAACCAATGCCAGAACAGTATGCAGGGACATGGACAACTGATAAAATCCCTTCAAGAACTGTACAGTCAGGTATATTGAAATACTTTTATTTTGTTATTCTTTGATATATCGTAATTAATACAAGATTATATGAAAGAGATAAACTTGAAACTATTTATGGCAGAAGAATTTCAAAATTATTGATTCATAGATATAGCTCTTCGAAGTTTGAACATATTTTTTTTCTGATATATATGAAAATAAACACTACAAGAGCGATTGCACTGTCAAATAGATAGCTTTGGCTTGGAATGATAATAAAATTTCATTATGTTCACTTCTTCTGTTCCAAAAAATTATATGTGATGCAAGTTAAAATCATCTTGTCAAATATGTTAGATTTAAGATTGCTTTCATGATAATTTTCATAATAATTATATCTATTTACAGTGATATATTTGAATGATACTTGAAATATTCTCTTTTTTGTGCAGACTGAGTTTGCAGCTTTCTGGTCTGAATTCAACTTGCTAATGAAGTATTCAATGCTGGTGTTCACTCGTGAACCAGCAGTGGAGAGAACTATCGACTTCATCACCAAATTTATCACTTCCATTGAGCCAGAAGAGCCTCCACGAGACAGTGTTAATTCTACACTGGACAATATATCAGAAAACAACCTTCTTATGGAAGTCTTGACATTTCTTCTTCAGGTATGAACGTCTACAATGGACACAACTATATCAACATTAAATCTGTAATGGTTTAGATAGATTAGAAAATCATTACCTATTACAAGTAATAAGAGGTAATCATATTAAGATATTCTCACCAGAAACAATCTCTTGTTCAAGCTCTTGTTAATCTATCTAATTATCTGTTAATGGATAATAACAGGGGAACAATTTCTGAGAAGAAAAAAAGGTTAAATAAACATGTGTATTGTAATGTCTTCTGACGCTCTGTTACAAAAGCTGTGACTTATCATACTCTAATGAATCTATGCATTCATTGTTGACTTATAAAACTTAGCAGATAAGCACATTTACGTAGATACTGAGGTACTGCAGTTGGGTTAATTGGGTCCCGAACAACCGATATAAACACAATGTCTTTGGTCGATTTATACTATACAGTGTTCCAAATCTTAGGGATCCCTTAAAGTACAAAAATGACTACATTATTTGTCACTCTAAAAATGAAAAATAATGATAAATTGTTCAGCATTACAATTCCATTACGGCCTACAGTAAATTTAGTACTTATAAATGTAACAACCTGCATTAACACCAGTGAAAATTAAACCAGGTTCATTACAGTATGTTGCAGTTCATCAACTAGGTTTCAGGAGGATCTCTATTGGTATACAGAGACCTCATAGATAAGTAGATAGTAGATGACAGAAAACACATTGGAACCTGGCATCAGGCGTTACACCTCTGCTTTTCTGCTTTATTTTTGTAAGATGGACATGAGAAAAATGTTCCTTTCATAAAAGTATGAATTCTGTGTCAAAGTTTAAACATAAATGACCGTACAAGTTAAAAACGTCTTGATATTACTCAATATATCTGTCATGTAATCGGCCCAAAATGCTAACGCAGCAACTCAGATTTGGGGATGGCTTTTTACAGGACAGGTTAATCATATTTGCTAAACCTGCTAAACTGAACTGTCATGGACAAAACTAGACTTTTTATCAGACGCTAGCTTAATGACTGATTGATAGGGTGATAACACTGCCAGGCACGACAATAATATCATAGCTCTTATTGCTAAAGCAACAATGATTATTTCTCCAGCTATTCTGATCTTTTAATCCATAACCAGAAAGTAATAAGTTGGGAGTTTGGTTTTTTAATCAGGTGCAAATGAGCACTTGTTCTCAAACCAAACAGATCCTTGTCCTTACAGCAAGTCAGAGGGCTATAGTCCATCAAACCTGGTTTTATTTGATGTCTAGAATGGTTGTTAATAAACATCTGTTTTTGAAGTAGTATTAAAATAACCTTTCTTTAAATATCTAAAACCTTCACCTTTATTTATAAGACTGGAGATGTTCTTAAGTGTGCAACATGCTAATTGGGTCACATTATGAATATATGCATTGTGTATATGGCACCAAATCCCTAATAAGGATAAGCTTATGATTGAAGATGTTAAAAATACCACAAAATGAAGTAGCTAGTTATTGAAATGGTTGTAGCATAACAGTTGTCTTCAATGCTGCCAGATCAGGGCTCTGAACAGTAAAGAAAGTCCATGTTCATTTTTAATCTCAACAGTCGATTGCAGCTAGTCAGTGATTGAAGTCTTGTTTTATTTGAACATGACAATATCTGTAATCCACTCCAGGCTTTTAGACGTTGTGAAACTGTAGGGGTATTCTTGTACTGTAATGGACATGAACCACTTTATGCTTCACCATTTTATGGGGTTTAAATGGGACATTAAGTGTCTTTTGTCTGAAATCAATGTCACCTATCTATCACCTTCATTTCTGAAGGGAATTCAATCATTTGACAATTTTTTTATTTGATTTTTCAGGTGCATTCAGCAAAAGACAAAGCCATAAGATTTCGATGTTGTCAGATGATCAATAAGCTGTTAAGCAATCTTGGTGAGCAGGCACAGATAGATGATGACTTGTACGACAAGATCTATGGAAGCATGTTGGAGAGACTACGTGACAAGATGCCCGTTGTACGTTTTCATGCTGTTATGGCACTGGCACGGCTCCAGGATCCACGAGATGACAATTGTCCTGTCATTAAAGGTAACTCCTGTCTAGATTTCATCCTTTGTAGATTTACACCTGTCATTAAAGGTAACTCCTGTCTAGGTTGCATTCTTTGTAGATTTACACCTGTCATTAAAGGTTGCTCTTGTCTAGGTTTCATCCTTTGTAGATTTACACCTGTCATTAAAGGTTGCTCCTGTCTAGGTTACATTCTTTGTAGATTTACACCTGTCATTAGAGGTTACTCCTGTCTAGATTGCATTCTTTGTAGATTTACACCTGTCATTAAAGGTTGCTCCTGTCTAGGTTTCATCCTTTGTAGATTTACACCTGTCATTAAAGGTTGCTCCTGTCTAGGTTACATTCTTTGTAGATTTACACCTGTCATTAGAGGTTACTCCTGTCTAGGTTGCATTCTTTGTAAATTTACTCCTGTCATTAAAGGTTGCTCCTGTCTAGGTTGCATTCTTTGTAAGTTTACACCTGTCATTATAAATAGCCTCTGTCTAGGTTTCATTCTTTGTAGATTTACACCTGTCATTAAAGGTTGCTCCTGTCTAGGTTGCATTCATTGTAGATTTACACCTGTCATTAAAGGTTGCTCCTGTCTAGGTTTCATCCTTTGTAAAATTATACCTGTCATCAAATTAGCTTCTGTTTAGGTCTCATCCTATTTCATTTGATAGATTGGGAGCTTATCACCCTATCAACTAAATGATGAATTTGGTATTAAAGTGATAAAACATAACTATAAGCATTCTGTTTTGAAGCATACCTATTCCTGATAAATGCTGACACTAGTCCTGATGTCAGACGTGCAGTCTTATCCTGTATCGCCCCATCCACTAAAACATTACCAGCAATTCTGAGCCGCACCAGAGATGTTAGCGATACAGTCAGGAAGATGGCATATCTTGTGATGGGGGAAAAGATCCACATTAAGGCACTGTCTATTGCTCAACGTATTCAGCTTCTCCAAGATGGCTTGACTGATACAGCAGGTATGACTATGTACAAATGGTTAAAATTTTGACATGCAATGTCAAAAGAATGCAAATTTTGGAAACCACAATGTTTTATTTAGTTCATTACTGTTATGGTGTTGCATTTCAGAGTTTGAATTGACCATTTTCTGTTTCTCAGAAGAGATGTCCCGATATTTAAACCTCAAAAGGTCTAAGAAAATAAGATAAAGTGCATGGATTAATTTGACAGAACATCACTAAATCATGTTTGAAAGAATTTCAAATGTGTCACTTTTATGCGATAGGTGGATGCCTCATGTATGCTGTGTAATGACTGTATTGTTCTTATCTTTCTATTTTTGTTACATTGACACGGCTTCTGTCTTTGATATTTCGTGTGAAACAATGAAATAAGACTACTGATTTGTCAAATCTACATCAATGTAAAATTGTATTAAACAGAATGTTTGTTCCTAAGATCAATTTTTTAAGCAGAACGGAGGAAGAGAAACTTAATGACAAATCAAAGACTGCTAAGCACTTCAGTATCTTTTCATTACAAAGTAGAACCAAGGTTTTTTTAATGGACATGGAAATAACTTGTGCTTCAGATTCAGTTAAGGATGCTTGTACTGCCAAACTGCTACAGGCCTGGCTGAGGATGCTGGAGGGTAATGCTCTAGATTTACTCTCTAGTCTGGATGTGGAAACTTCCACAGAAACCTGTGAGCTGGCCCTGTATGCTCTGTTTAAACCATCTCCACTCAGAGAATTAGTGGACAAGTTGGACCTGCTGAGTGATGAGTATGTCTACCCTTTTCTTTTTCAAGTGTATTATTGATAATATTGCTGTTGATTACACTTAGAAGTATTGTTTTTTCTTATCTTAACTTCGAAGAAGAAATCTTTAAATGCTGGAGATGATACAAAATGTAAGATATAGGAGTGTTTAAGATTTAAGAATCCTGATACTAATTTACATTGTAGTGTCCTGATCCCATTTGACAAGCTAACCTGTGAGAGTGCTATGTACTGGCAGACCTTGTGTAAATACATCCACAGCAAGGGTACAGAGGGAGAAGAGGAACTGGAGAAAGTACTCCCAAACTGTCTCAAGCTGTGTGAACACATTAGCAGGTAAGACCAACAGCATCCCTGTTTTCATGTCTTCTGTTTACCAACAAAAGGTCATTAGTTCAAATCCCCTTTTACCTGTAGTTTGTCTGTGCGTAAACAATTCATGTTACATATCACCATTTCTTGAGATGTACTTAATGGATGGTTTTTTCTCAAATTTCCCCTTGGTCCCTTGTTGTGCTGAACATTCAATTATATCTACAAACTACAGTAGGGGAGGTGGTGACTTCTTTATCTCTGGGTCTATGTTTTAGACCTATCCTTTAAACTACCCATTTTGATATCAACATGGCGGAACATACAGCATTTTAAACTTGTTCCTTTAAAAATGCAAAAATGGCAGTAGGGTAGCATTTTTGTTACATGGAAATTAATGACGAAGTGTGACAAACTGATCCCTATTAAACCATCCTTTGTGAAATTACTGTCACTATCATTTGATAAATAGCTATATTATTCTTCCTTTTTCAGAGTTATTCTGTATTTTTTGACATGATTGTTCCATTGATGTGTGGAGTGTGTCAAAACCAAATAATTATATAATTTTTGAATTAATTAATCATCTCTTAAAACAAAAATTGAAATAAAGAAGAATTATACTAAATTTATTTTGAACCTAAGGCTTACATGAAAATAATTGTCTTGAGTCCAGCTGTGTATGAGTTTCACAACAAATATCACAGAATAGTATGTTTATGTATGAAATGAATATGAAAATATAATTAAGTGTAACAAATATCACTCTGCAACCTACTTGACCATATGAAAATTGTAAATATTTATTTTCACTATTAGTATTTGCTAATTTGAGTATTCTGATACATTTATATGGTTACATAATAAATAAAAAGGAAATCTGTGTTTCAGCTTTGTAGACAGTCTGAAGGCAATAGATGACCTGGAAGATCAAGTTGAGAAGGAGTTCATCCTCAAGCAGTTGCTACTCCTTGTAAATTTTATGGAACTGGCAGACAATGCTTCTAGGTAACCCACATATAAATTAAAATGTATATTCTCTGGACCAGTCTTTGTGTCCTCATGTATACCCTATGTCCTGTAATGTTTGTGATGGACAGTCAATCAGAATACATCATATCATGGTTACAATTTGTAGATGATGGAAGTATTAAAGTATTTCATTTTGGTTAGATATAAGATAAAGGAAGTAGACTGACATATTTTTTTATCTATGGTAGAGAAATTAAGTATTTATTTCATGGTATGGAAATTTATATAATTTTTAGGCTAAACGTACTCAGTACATACAGCCTATTGCGACAGCCTTTCAGACAAAATTTGCCAATACTGGCCTTCTCATTGGCTGAAATATCGAAAAGGGTTAGAGCCCTCTAGCAGCAATTTTCTGCGTAAATAATGCAGGGATCTTTTAAATCGCTATTTAAAAGCATCCACAATACATTTATTTTCTCTAGAAAAGCTATTGAAAAGCTGTTCCATGACATATTGATGGCTGATCATATCGGTCATCATCTGGTGAAGTACCTGGTGCCTTGTCTATGTGAGTTCCGTAGTAGTCCTGATGCAGTGATCACCTACTTTGCTGAGACCATCTCAGAGATCCGAGAACCTATTACTATGGTAGAGATGGGCATGGATGAGGAGGCAAAAAGACAAAATGATCTCAAGGTAATATTACCTCAAACAACTTCACAATAGAGGTGTTGAAACACTGTTTTACTCTACAATCTTTGTCATCACAATGCATACAACAGATATAGACAAGATGGTAAAAGTAGAATGATTCAATTCACATATCACAAGTTTTCCATCCTACAACACTTTTAACTGTTTTTGTTGAAGTTGAACTCTGTAGTAATTATTGTAACCAGAGTGCCCATCAGCCAGTCTGTCTGTTAACACATGATTTCCCTGTGATCCATTGAAACCTATGATGTCTTGGTGGTGAGAAAGATTACTGGTATCGTAAATAGTACACAAATTGTTAATCCTATGTGTCTGTTGGGATAGATCGCAAGTTTGAGGGTGAAACTGAACCAAGCTAAAGAGGAACTAGAAGAGCATGTTCGTAATCAGGACTTCAGCAAAGCTGCAGACCTCAAGGCAATCATCTCTGAACTGGATGCTGAAAAATCGATTTTGTTAAATGCTGCAGAATCCAAACATGAGGAGGTCAGGACAGAAAAGGTTAGACCATTGCAACTTTAGTGTTCATTTTGTGTATAATTTTACTTTTGTGAGTCATACCCTGTAAGTTTAGGGTGGTATTCATATAAGTAACATGTTTTAAAGTACAGTGAAACTTCGAATCATGTCTGGTGGGTTATATTGATGTTTTCATGTTCATGGCTATATATAGTTAATGACACGATATTTCTACCTGAACAAACACAACAAATACCAAAACACAAGATTAAATGAAAAGACACATTTTTGTCTTTAAACAAAACATTTTCATTCATGAAAAAAAAAACCCATAACTTTAAACAAAAATCAGTGTGAAATCAATCTTTCATGTCACATAGTATGTACATTTTAGGGGTGGATTTTAAATAAAACAGCATTAAAGGGTCTTCACGTGTTACAGTAATTATTTTAAAACTGATACATAAACATTATAGGCACTAATGAATTTAAATGAAAGCAAATTAATATCATAATGTATTCTGTTCAGAAACGACAGCACTGACATCATGCATCTTCGTCTGTAGAAATTACAAGAGTATTTGCTGATGTTCTGACAACAGCTAGTCTTTATCTATCAGAGAATGCATGATTGACAGCTAAATCATAGTGTTTTTTTTAGCTAAAAACAAAAAAGTGATGCTTTGGGAATGAGTGAAATCATCATACAAGTGATAGGATTTCCTCCAATTGGTTTCAAAATTCCCTAAGTTAGACCTAAGTAAATGCCATCACCACAATTACTGCGGTGAACATCACACGACGTCCCATTATTTTTTATTAAAGATCATGACTTGCAAGTAAGCAATTAAATTTAAATCTTTGTCCAGTCATTAATTTACCCTGTAACACAGAGCTAATGATAGCCTGCTATCATTTTCTCATTGTCGGGTAGCATTCTTCATTAAAATGTGTGAAATTTTGCCGTGGAGCAGAAATACCTGTACAGTACAGGTAAATGTTTTGTTCCAATGATGAAGTGTCAATGATGATGTTATCATAGCTTATGGTCAGTGAAAAAACTTTGAGACATTGAAAAGTTTTATTTATAAAACTTTTATTCATGAGGGGGTAAGTTAGTAATATATTGGAATAAAATTTGTGACTAAACAAAAACATTGTTACATCATGAAATTTCAATCATCAAAGTTTGATTCATAGAAGTTTTACTATATATGATTGTCTATTAGAATGAAGTTGAGAACTACAATGCGTCGCAGGACACACATCCTTTTAAAAGCACCAAGATCACATTCAATTAATACTGCTAATTATGTTTCCTAACTCTTCTCTATCCATGAATAGAGTTTAGGTTGCCTTCCATGAATAGAATTTTGATTTAGATAGCTCTACTACAGTAATTGGTCATTATTTTCATCATTTAGACTGATGTGGCAACCATCCTGAAGTGTCAAACCATTGTAGCAGAGATGTTGGAGAAACTGACCCTCAAATCAATTAATCCATCACTACAGATGTTGATTGAGTCTTTGGTATGTCACTCAATATATCTTCTTGTGACCTGCATCAAACTATATCTGTACAGACCTGATCTGATTAAATTGTCAAGTTACAGACACTGAAGTTGAAATAAAGCTTATAGAAATGTAGTTAACAGGGAAAATAAGATTTTTACTTTTATCCACCTCCCTGACAAATCCAAAACTTAATCCATAATTTTGACTGAACTGCGGATTGTCCTGGCCATCCTTTGTACTTATTTACATTGATTTGTCTGTGTTGTATGTAGTTGTTGCCCGGTATCCAGAGTGAAGACAGTCGTTTGCGTACTGTTGCCCAGCGTGGTCTGGGACTGTGTTGTCTGATAAATCAGGACCTAGTCCTCCAACATCTGCCACTCTTCATGCAGGTCTGTATTAATCTTGTGTTAGGCTAAGATCACTTTGATTCAACCTGTGTATTTTTGACAGTAAACAGTTCTGTGAATAAGTGTGATTTAATTCTGATTGAAGAGTGAAGGATGGCTTGTTATAGACCTTTATTGGAACAATATATCTCACATTACCTTGTTTTATTAGTGATTACTTAGAGATAGATGTTTCACAAACATGAGTGTGATATATTTTAACTTGATGAGAATATTTTCTCAATTTTGATTTGATCTTTATGTTTGTTTGTAAAGTTACGTTGTTTCAATAGGATAAATTTTCCTTGCTGTATATATATTATAAGGATCGTGGACCTTCTATTGATGATTATGTGATTGGTAATAGGCTTCCAAGATCGATGAGGAAGAGGTACGAGCCACAGCTTTATCTGTCATGTTTGATGTCCTACACATGCACGGTATGGATGTGATCAAAACGTCCGATTCAGAAGCTGACGATTCCAGTGAGGCGATGGACACAAGTTCTGAGGCTCCTTCCTCTCCTGGGACTACTGAGGAACAGACCAAAAACACAGACAATCAGAATCATGCTTCAAATCTAGTAGCTTTCCTCAGTGGATTTCTTGATAGTGAGGTTGGTGTTTTCAGTGCTTATTATAAAGGGACTATGATATTTTAACCTAGCTGATTGAGCTCATCAGAATATACTGCTACATTACATGTTTGTTTATTTGAAATCAGTTATGACAGAGAAGTGTTATCAAATAGTCTTCTTATTTTATTTCAGTCCACATGTTTATTAATCCAGGCTATAGCACCTAATAAGCCATCATAATTTTTTTTTTTTTCGTGGGATAAATTTTCACAGGTTACATATTGAGAAATCTGGATCTGAAAGATCACTAGATGATAGCTTGCATGCAGAGTATTGGGTAAATGCACAAAAATTTCTTCTGGGACTTCAATTTTATCACTTCAGTAAGCTTATTTTCTATTGATTTTATAATTTACACAGATAGTTCATTCTATTCTGCTTATAACAATACAAGCCTGTTAGGATGCAAACAAGGCCACACCAATGCTTGCAAATCAATCTAGCTAGATCCATAAAGAATTTACACAAATTAAATATCATGTTTGTTTAAATGGTAAATTGAGGTGAACTACTTCCAAAATTAGGCAAGAAGTTGATTTCATAAGTTTTCTTCAAGAGTATCCCAGAAAACTTAACTTGTGCTGAATATCCCTTTAAAGAACATCTAATAGTATATTTTGTTACCCCCTTTTTTTTAACAGAGTTCAAAGTTACGTACTATAGCTGCTGAAGGTCAGGCCAAGTTGATGCTGTCTGGTAGAGTAGTCTCCCCTAAGATCCTGTCCCATCTGATCTTATTATGGTACAACCCCCTGACAGAAGATGACACACATCTCCGACACTGCCTTGGCACATTTTTTCCTGTATATGCCTTTGCTTGCAGGTCTGTTGTAAAGTCCCATTTAGCTTATTGGGTATTTTGAATAATGGAGAATATTTTTTTTCTTTTGAAGGAATTATATAGGTTCAGAAAATTAACAAAACCCTGAAAATTAGATATCAACGTTTTATAAGTTCAAGACAATATTGGTTAAAAATGGAAAATTTGCTGCCATTGGTAGCTTTTGAAGTGATAAGTATCGTGTTCTAATCAGTGCTTTATATATGATAAATTCAAAAATCTTCATTAGAAAGATGCTGGTAACATTAAGGACAGGAAGAAAAATTACTCAGAAATTCTTTCATGATGGAAAATCATCATAGAAATTCTTTATTGTCAGACACTCTTGTTCGAATTTGAATAATGCATGAATAGTGAAACAAGTTAAAACTGAACTGTAAATATAACATTTATGTAAACTTTGATGTTGGATCAATGTAGATCTAATCAAGAAAAAGTGGAGGAAGCTTTTATGCCAACACTGAAGATCCTACTGAATGCTCCATTGTCCAGTCCATTGGCCGAAGTATCCGTAGAGAATGTGGCAGAACTCTTCATACAACTCACCAGCACCAAACTCCTCCTCCACAACCAAAACCAAACTGTGGATGTAAGTCTGCAAAAAAACTCTTATTTTTTTAAACAGAATAATTCCATTTCACAATAATAGTTCTGATACACTTAAACCTCTTCTCTGTCCTCACTTTCAGAGACCATGTCTCTCCTTAATACATAATTGGTTTAATTCCCATTTTAAGCACAAGTACACTTTATGACCTACAGTTATGAACAACTTTTATTTATTTATTCCGTCATAATATTTATTATTTTCTGATTAATAGTCATTTATGTCCTCTTTATCAATCCATCAACACATCATGTTATAATCATTTCTCAAAAAGACTGTACAGGTATTCCTATAAATTTATGCTCTGGTTCCATATCAGTTCTAATTGTTAACCATCACCTTTGTTTGACAATATAAGGAGAAATATGTGCATGACGTAACCATCTTGGTTGTTTTAGTTAGTTATTGTTTTTATCATAAAAAGTGCTGGACAAGACTCTTGTAGATTTCATACACAGGTTTCTCGTAAATATTGGTTTTGTGGATGTGAAGAAAAGTATTGCTACTGTATGACCATCTTGAATTTCTAGGTCAGACTTTATAATGATTTTATCTCAAAAAGTAAATACAGGTGCCCCGGTAGGTCCTAGTTTGTTGGTTATTATAATCCATTGCAAAGGTGATGTTGTCATAACTTGTTATGTCAATAGTCCTTCTATCTTCAATGATATATATCTTTTTATTTCATTTTTTAATTGACTATTAAAAAAAATTACACAAGTTTTGCTTTATACTGAGTTTGTTCTCTTACTCAGTACATACCTCTATGTGTTAATAGGATTAAGATCATTTCAGCTTCCACCACTATTATATAAAGTTATACTTAGCTTTCTTAGATTTGATTTTGTTTTACATCAGTAGAAAAACCCAAACCTAGCCACTGTCATTATGCTACCAAAAAGTTGTCGCTTTGTCCATTTGTCCGTCTCTTGGTCTGACAGAATTTTGTTTGGAGCATATCACCAAAATCATGATAGTATCAACATAAAACTTCATCAGTAGATAGATCTTGATAAAGAGAAGTGCAGTGTACAAGAACCACAACTTCTCTTTTGCATAATTTATGAGTTATTGAAACTTGGTTTATATATTAATCATACTAAGAGAATGTCCAGTATACCAAATTCAGGGCCTGCAGCTGCTTGATCACAGCATATTTGCCGATTTTTGTGTCCAAAAAAGTCATTTTCGGAGAGCATTCACCAGTTTCACTGATAGACTTGTTTTATCTCAGTAGGGAAATTCTAGCAATGGCAAAATTTTATTTCTGTAAGAAAACCCTGGCCAGGACAGTGTTGTTTTATATCTGCAGGAAAACCTTATCCAGGCCATTGTTGTTTTATATCTGTAGGCAAACCCTAGCCATGCCAATGTTGCCTTGGCTATATGTAATGAGATCCTGAGTAACCCAGACTCGTTCAGTCTGAAGCTTTGGGTGAAAATTCTGAACCAGCTAGAGCTTGGCACAGAGGACCTTATCTCTAATAAGGAAACATTTGTTCTCATACAGAGGGTCACAGAGGTAAGTTTTGTGTCTAACATAGAAACATTTGTACAGAGGATCACAGAGGTAAGTTTTGTATCTAACATAGAAACATTTGTCCTGATACAGAGGATCACAGAGGTAAGTTTTGTATCTAACATAGAAACATTTGTCCTCATACAGAGGATCACAGAGGTAAGTTTTGTATCTAACATAGAAACATTTGTCCTCATACAGAGGATCACAGAGGTAAGTTTTGTGTCTAACATAGAAACATTTGTCCTCATACAGAGGATCACAGAGGTAAGTTTTGTATCTAACATAGAAACATTTGTCCTCATACAGAGGATCACAGAGGTAAGTTTTGTATCTAACATAGAAACATTTGTCCTCATACAGAGGATCACAGAGGTAAGTTTTGTGTCTAACATAGAAACATTTGTCCTCATACAGAGGATCACAGAGGTAAGTTTTGTATCTAACATAGAAACATTTGTCCTCATACAGAGGATCACAGAGGTAAGTTTTGTGTCTAACATAGAAACATTTGTCCTCATACAGAGGATCACAGAGGTAAGTTTTGTATCTAACATAGAAACATTTGTCCTCATACAGAGGATCACAGAGGTAAGTTTTGTGTCTAACATAGAAACATTTGTCCTCATACAGAGGATCACAGAGGTAAGTTTTGTGTCTAACATAGAAACATTTGTCCTCATACAGAGGATCACAGAGGTAAGTTTTGTATCTAACATAGAAACATTTGTCCTCATACAGAGGATCACAGAGGTAAGTTTTGTATCTAACATAGAAACATTTGTCCTCATACAGAGGATCACAGAGGTAAGTTTTGTATCTAACATAGAAACATTTGTCCTCATACAGAGGATCACAGAGGTAAGTTTTGTGTCTAACATAGAAACATTTGTCCTCATACAGAGGATCACAGAGGTAAGTTTTGTGTCTAACATAGAAACATTTGTACAGAGGATCACAGAGGTAAGTTTTGTATCTAACATAGAAACATTTGTCCTCATACAGAGGATCACAGAGGTAAGTTTTGTGTCTAACATAGAAACATTTGTCCTCATACAGAGGATCACAGAGGTAAGTTTTGTGTCTAACATAGAAACATTTGTACAGAGGATCACAGAGGTAAGTTTTGTGTCTAACATAGAAACATTTGTACAGACGATCACAGAGGTAAATTCACAAACAAACATTTTTATGACTGATGGAATTAGTGATAGGATACAACTTGGATGTAGATACTTACAGTTGGTGTCTGCGATAAATCATCTTACACACATGCAATATTGATTAAACTTGTTCAGTAATTTGGTATGTAGTAACAAGTGTTAATGCTTGTAACATATCAAGCTAATGCTTGTGACATGCCTAATTAATGAATAAATTGAATTAATTCCATATTACATTGACGTGAGTGTAAAATTCTATTTACCATGTAACTAGCTTTTTGAAGATGATAAAAAACATTATTCTCCATGAAATAAAGACATATTTTAACTCAAAGGGCTGTTTGTCACTTCTTAGGCAATAATAAAGTCATTATGACGTAACTTATCTCTGATATCAGAATTGTGTAATTACTTGTGTGTCTTAAAGTATTTACAACAAGGCCATATGACATGACTGTATACTTGCTTCCAGGTGATCAAGGACAAACAATGCCTTAAATCTGTGGAGAAATTCCAGGAATACCTCCGCAGATTGTTACCCAAGGAATTCTTAGCAGAGATTGAAGATCAGACTAAGAAAAATATGAAAACTGGTACTGTAAACTATTCATACTATAATAGTGTCATATGTATGAAATAAAAGAACTCAACGATGTTGTGAAATATTGCATGTGACATAAAATTTTCATTCTCCCTTATTTTCTGGATTATAAAATGCACCGGTATATAAGCTGCACCCTTTCTTACAATATGCTCCGCTATTGTTGATGTTTGATATATCGGTAACAGATAATGGAAGACAGTTCTTATGAAATGGTAACCATTACATTGACCAAAGTTTGTTGATACTAAACAATCTCTCCATCAGTGTCTGTACTGTTAAATATTAACAAAGGTCTTTGCATGCTGACCAAATTCTTAGAGTCCCATGTTATTTCTCGGAAGTTACACGAAGCCATTCATTTCATATACAAGCGTGGTTGTCTTTCAAGAATTTGACCTATAACCTGAAGACCTATCAATCCAGGATGCAAAAGGCTATTGCAAACTTATGCTATGGCTTCAAAGTAACCTTGCACAACTCATACTGGTGTACTGGTTCACTACTTGTTTTTGTTGTTTTTTTTTTAATTTGCTCATCCTGCCGCACGTATAAGCTGCAATGGTATATGAGCCACATGCCAAACTCTTTAGAAACCTTTATATGGGAAACTCTTTGAGGTTCATCACATAAGGAATTAATTTTCATCTTTTGATATAAAAGATTGAGGAGATAATAAATCTTGAAAAAATTATCATCTTCCAAATACTTCACTGTTGAAATAATAGTCTCCATAAGGTATTACTTTGATGATGGTTATTGTTCTTTACTAATTCCCTCAGTTTCCAGGCAGTGGTTATTGTTCTTTACTAATTCCCTCAGTTTCCAGGCAGTGGTTATTGTTCTTTACTAATTCCCTCAGTTTCCAGGCAGTGGTTATTGTTCTTTACTAATTCCCTCAGTTTCCAGGCAGTGGTTATTGTTCTTTACTAATTCCCTCAGTTTTCAGGCAGTGGTTATTGTTCTTTACTAATTCCCTCAGTTTCCAGGCAGTGGTTATTGTTCTTTACTAATTCCCTCAGTTTCCAGGCAGCGGTTATTGCTATAAAAGTTCACACAATTCTAGATCTTTTGATTTGCTTTTGCAGAAAAAAAAATTTCCCTTTCAACAAGAAATGGTTTTCATCATACAAATTTGTGTATGTCTTGCTGAACAGCAAGTAGTGTACCTATTAGTGGTAATAAAGAAAGATACTTGTACATGGATGGATTATGTAAAAGAAAACAAGAAAAGTGAAGAAATGTCATTTTGATGAGACGGAGATGATAAAGGCTGTAGTTTATTGTTCATTTTTAATGTTTTTGTTTCAGAGGAAACAGGGGAGATAACAGATGTAATAGCTGATATCACAGCTGCTTCTACTAACCAGACTGTATTGAATGAGACACAACTCGGTATGGCTGACACTAGCTCCTTTTTCCAGGAACCCAAGCCTATTCGTCGCACCATAGGTATACCTCACCCTTCACAGTGATTACATGTATAGACATTCGATATAACAGAAATAGAACTTTCCTATGTATTTGCAGTAGGTTTTTTTAGTTGAAATCACTCTACATATCTTAGGTCATAACTTCAGCAGTTCCATCTTATTCAAAAGCAAAATCATTTGATAGGGTTCACTATCATTTTGATGTATTTTAATGAAGTAGTGAACCCTTTCATACACCAATGTCATATCAAAGGCCGTAGAGACATTTTTTCAAAAGTTGTCCCTCCAGGTGCTACAAAAACCACCCAGTTCAGGTTAAATCAGTTCACGGGCAAAATCCTATTGTTCCTGAAAAAGGTCCTTTGATATGTAGACCCTCCTTGGTTCCGAATGGTGAATATTTGATTTTAAAAGGAATGGAATTATAAACAATGAAATGATCCAGCTGACAGATAACCAATAACGATCATACACCACAATCCCGCTGAAATCCCTTTTGTCAAGGTATTTTTTATTATTTCTTTGATGCAATCACACAAAATTATAGGGTTCAGTTATGATTGAATGACAGACATTAGAAAGCTGTAACTCACGCCCAGAGGTAATTCTTTATTCAACAGATAATTAAGATGTCTGCTACTGTATTGTTTTACTTTTTTATTTTCATTCTGTGACATAGTTTTATCATACTACCACATTTTACTATGTAACACTGTTGACTTTTCTTTTTTTTATTTTAATAGTTCTATCCATTTTATCTTACCTTGCAGCTCGTTCAGATGCTTCTCTCTCCAAGACACCAACTGGTCCTCCTAATAAAAAGAAAGTGACTAAGTCTACAGGCAAGAAATCAAAATCTCAACTCCAAATTGCAGCTGCAGACGACAGGTAAACTGACTTTCCTTCCTCATTATGTAGAAATAGAAGCTTAAATGGCTCAAGATTACTCTGAACCAAGACATTGTATAAAAATTAACTTTTGTTGGCATTTGCTTTCATTGCTAAACAAAGCCTAGTAAACATCCTTAGACTTTGTTGACATATCAGTTCTTGGATAAAGAGTTCCCTTGAAGTCAATGAAAACAAGTCCCCCAAAAAATAAATGATGTTACAATATTGTAAAATCAATGATGTATCTATTAAATTTATCATTAAACTAATTTGTCTTACAGTGATTTAGAAAACAATGTGTTTGCCTCTCCAACTCCAACACGTGCAAGTGTACGAGCAGCTACAAAAGGTGTTGATGATGCAGAAAATAAAAAGATTTCATCACCCACTCCTGTACGTACAAGTACACGCAAGAGCAAGGCCACAAGCAATGACTCCTCTCGCAAAAACCTGAGTGAAGTTATCACTGCCAGTGTGAGCTCAGAGGATGGGGGCCCCGGTACTCGTACCAGATGTAGAAGGTAATGATCTCAGCTGCTCTGTTGTCATCATTGATGGCAATAGTAGATTTAATTGAGGTGATTCTATATAATATGAAGTTCTTCTGATCTATCAAATGATGTATGTGTACCTCAGGCACATGTGATTTTGTGAATATTAGGCCCCTGTGTTTTCGTGTACATCAGACCCAAGCAATCTTGTACATCAAGCCCAAGTAATCTTGTGCATAAGGCTGGTGTAATCTTGTACATCAGACTGGTATAATCTTGTACATCAGACTGGTGTAATCTTGTACACCAGACTGGTGTAATCTTGTACATTAGACTGGTGTAATCTTGTACATCAGATCCATGTAATCTTGTACATCAGATCTATGTAATCTTGTGCATAAGGCTGGTGTAATCTTGTACATTAGACTGGTGTAATCTTGTACATCAGACTGGTGTAATCTTGTACACCAGACTGGTATAATCTTGTACACCAGACTGGTGTAATCTTGTACATCAGATCCATGTAATCTTGTACATCAGACTGGTGTAAGCTTGTACATCAGACTGGTGTAATCTTGTACATCAGACTGGTGTAATCTTGTACATCAGACTGGTGTAATCTTGTACATTAGACTGGTGTAATCTTGTACATCAGACTGGTGTAATCTTGTACATCAGACTGGTGTAATCTTGTACATCAGACTGGTGTAATCTTGTACATCAGACTGGTGTAATCTTGTACACCAGACTGGTATAATCTTGTACACCAGACTGGTGTAATCTTGTACATCAGATCCATGTAATCTTGTACATCAGACTGGTGTAAGCTTGTGCATCAGACTGGTGTAATCTTGTACATCAGACTGGTGTAATCTTGTACATCAGACTGGTGTAGTCTTGTACATCAGACTGGTGTAATCTTGTACATCAGACTGGTGTAATCTTGTGCATCAGATCTGTGTAATCTTGTACATCAGACTGGTGTAATCTTGTACATCAGACTGGTGTAATCTTGTACATCAGATCCATGTAATCTTGTGCATCAGACTGGTGTAATCTTGTACATCAGACTGGTGTAATCTTGTACATCAGACTGGTGTAATCTTGTACATCAGATCCATGTAATCTTGTACATCAGACTGGTGTAATCTTGTACATCAGACTGGTGTAATCTTGTACATCAGACTGGTGTAATCTTGTACATCAGATCCATGTAATCTTGTACATCAGACTGGTGTAATCTTGTACATCAGATCCATGTAATCTTGTACATCAGACTGGTGTAATCTTGTACATCAGATCCATGTAATCTTGTACATCAGACTAGTGTAATCTTGTACATCAGGACTGTGTTTTATTGTGTGAGGCAGACATTTTGAACATAAAAGGATTTAATTTAGAGTGGTGACTTGTAGAACAATACAGAAGAGACTAATTTTTGCATGATTGCAGGGACATTGGATTAAAAGCATTTTGATGAGAGGTTCTGTAGATATTTCAAAATATTCATAGGCCAAATTATCTCTGATTACCTATCATGCCTGCAAATTTTATTATCTTTAAGTGACATTTTTTGTTTTCAATTTTCCAGCCAAAGAACACTTCGCAGTGTGCAGTCAGGGAAAACAGGTGGAAAATAGAAAACGTTCTGCTGTTCTGGCCTCGTTAGGAGGCTGTACATAGACTGATCCAAAGCAGCATTTGACAGTGAAAAACACACAGAAGCCAGCTGGGCATTAGAAAAATGACTGAATACTTTCAGGTGCTATGCTTGAATAAAATATCAACCCAGACTGAAGACACTAAGATTCATAATTTCTATCAATGGTTGAGTTTTCTGCCTCTAATTACATGTTAAGTATCATCCATATACTTTAGATGTTATCTCAAAAATTAAACCAGCAAAGTGGAATATTGATTTGAAACACTGAGTGTGATTGATGTGCAGTACTTCAAAGACAAAAGTCATATTAAGTAAGGTTGCTGTATTATATCAGTTGATATATGTGTTGTTGATGGAAGAAAAATTCTTACATAATCTCTGAAGTCTTCTCTCTTATTTCTTAATATAATTCTCTGCACTTTCTTTCCTGAAATAAAATGTTTATCTACTCCTTAATGTGACTGGTTTTTTTCGTTTATTTTTTAATGTTTAGCTTCTAGCTAGTATCAAAGTGATGTTCTTAGATAATTGTCAACCAGATTTTTCTTCCTGTCCTGGCTGTAGCATCTCCAAACTTCAATTACAGTAAAGAGTCCTTTTATGTCACTCAAATGTTATGATGTTACAACTTACAAATTTTCAGAGATGTAGTTATATACTGTTTGTCAATTTATAGTTCTACAGCATTATGATGTCAGAATCTACTGTCTTTTAGAGCTACATTTCTCTGGTAAAACCTCTTTTGTAGGGAATGAGGACAACAAGTGAATTCACCTATTGACCCTAATGTACAGTTTAGTTTGATTGCTGAAATCAGCAGTTATATACATGAAATACACTACTAAATTTAGATTGGGATTTGATGATTATAGCTTTCATCTGATGTATTTGAAATGCTGCTCCAATTCTAAGTTTAACTCAGTTTAAAATTGATCAAGGACTTCTCAGGATAATATTTATCATCAATTACAATATTCTCCATGCTTCTGTCATGGCGATCAATTTAACTTTGGAAATAATCTAAAGAAATATAAAGGTTATCTCCCTTTCAACAGAACATAATGTTATTGGATTACATGAAGCAGGGCGATTCTAAGATTGCTAATTCCATAAACACTCACTCATTGATGATTAGTTGTCTTTTCTCTATCAATACTAGGCTGATAACAATTATCATTGATCACTGATGAGAAGTTCATGTCAGCTACATAATGTTTATTTTCATATCTCGTTCTCAAAGATTAATACACGGATGAATAAGATGTGTTTTGGGTAAACTAAAATTTGTCTGTATCCATCGATCAATCACAGTTATTGTTTCATAATGGTTTATGATTCACACAATATTTAAAATTATTATGAAGGCGGCATTTCTTTTTTTTCTGTTTCTTTTAAGATTTTTGACCAGGATATTCTATCCAAAAAACAATAATTTTTTAAACAAGAAAATATTTTGTGCCATTATGAAACTTCAGTCTGTGGTAATAACTGGTCAGTGATCAAGGTTGTGAGAATAAAAGGTCAAGGTCAAATTTTAACCATCAATATATCTTACTTCACATAAAACAACTTTGGTTGTAATGTCAAAGACAAATCTGTATTGATATGGAACAAAATTGGTTGGAATTGAATAAATAATCAGCCAAGATCTGGCCAATCGATGTCATATTCAAATGCCTGGGTCAATGTTTATTGTAACTTATAACCTTGATTGGAAATCATTTTTTCATTTAATCAATTGCTTTCAAGTGGTTGAACTTGGAAATAATATTTCTCCTTACAGATTTGTAACACTTGCCTCAACTTCACTAGAAAGGCTCTTTTTGATGTGTCTTAATCAAATGTCATCATGATCTGAAATGGGTGTAAACATTGTTCAATCTTTATACCCCTGGATCATGAATAAGGTCATGCCTTGGTGATCTTGGTATTGGTTAATGTCAGGGATAGGCTAGAGATCAGATATATACTGCATGAATGATGCCTTGGGGAAGATAATTGAAATAAATATGATGATACCAAAATGAGATTCAAAGTTTTGTTTAGCTTTGAAAACATTGTCACTTGCAATATCTTTGAAGGCAGTAACTGTTAGAGCATCTGTAGGGGAAATGTATTGATTATCAACACTTGCCGAATGTGTGTGGATTTTGGTATGCATATGTAACAATAAGTCACAAAGGGTCTGAGTCTTTATACATGATGAGGCTTTGTGAAGCTGAAAGGTTGTGCTGCAGATCTGGGTAGATACATGGACTCCTTGTATATTCTGTGATCATGGGGCCAGGGACGATATAAGGTAGGGTCCTTATAGTAGCTGGCGGCTGCCTCACTGAACATCATGTGGGAAGTCTGTCGCATGCTACTGAGAGCAATTTGAATAAACTGTGTTGCCTAAAGACAAGCTGTCATCAGTGACAGTCAGGACATGTCCATGATCAAAACTTCCTGAAAAAAGAGGTCCAAGGGCCTTAACAGTCACTTGAGTCTTCTTGTAACAATGAAATGATTTTGTTAACGAGATCCCAAAGGGATTTTGGCGCCCACCATTGTTTGATCTTTATACGCTCTTTGAAAGGTGGACCTTTTCCCTTCTTTTCTCTTTCCTATTAATGAAATTTGAGATAGATCTCAAGAAATAGTGATAACAAACTTTCAAAGTCAAAATCCAAGATGGCCACTATTCGGCCATTTTGTTTTGCTGATCAGACCCAAAATTTTATGGGAACAACTAAGGACAAAGGGGAACTTATATATGAGATCCATCCAGAACTTTTTAAGAAATAGTGATAACAAACTTTCAAAGTCCACATCCAAAATGATGGTGGCCTAAAGAAGTAATTTAACTTAAACTTTATTGTACTCATAATGTAAATTGTGTTTACATTAACTGCTGTCCTATGCTAAGGCTTCTAACCAACTTTGAATTTCAAAAAAAAATTACACTCAAGATTTGAATTTTCCTAAATAAATCTTCCATCCAGACGCTGTAGAACATCTTTGAAATTTCAGTTAATTTGAACCTCTTTTGGCCCTGCCCAACAGCCCCTGGAGGTCTGTCAAGGTCAATATGTGTGTCTCATCAAATTGTCAGCTTATAACAAAAAAATATCTAACCAAGTTTGAACTATTTCTGAAAGAAAATAAACAAATTATGCTCAAAAATGTAATTTTCCTGTATAAAATACAATGTATAGTATATCTTATTCCGTTCTCAAGTGGAAATGTGAGACCCTGGGGGATGAAATTTACATTTTTATAAAGCACCGTCAGAAACTTCCATCCATGAAGAGTATTTGGTTCTACATTATCTAGGTACTAAGAAGAAGACCTGTTTTGGCCCCATCCAACAGCCCCTGTGGCCAGTCGAGATCAATATGTGCATCTCATAAAACTATCTTCTTAAACAATTAATTCTAATCAGGTTTGAACTATTTCCCATAAAAAATAAACAAATGGTCAAAAGTATGATTTTCCTATATAAACTTTAGAATTTCATTGATTTAGGAGTGTTCCAGAAGACAAAAATGTTAAAAGTTTACGATACCGGACAAAAAGAGATTGCAATAGGTCACCCCGAGATGTTGAGTTGGGCAACATTTAAACTGCCCAACATTGGAATCAAACCGCACTGCTTTTTTTCTCCTGATTTTGCATTGATCTTATGTATTGACAAAGTTATTGTGGCCCCTCTAACCAAATATTGAAATATCTTCATGATATATCACAATCAGCAGTTTGTATTATAAACCATTCAATAGAATTCCTGTAAATTTATTGTTCCCAGTCTAGTAAAATATGCTATATTTCATATTGTGTGAAAATTATCTCCATACATTCAATCCCTACAGCCACAATCCATTACCTTATGTATATGTTCTGGAATCAGTTATCCTGACTGACCTATTCCATAGTAAGAAAACATATTATGGGACAATTTTGACTCTGACAATGTTTGAAATGTTTTAAATGGGTCCATATCTTTTATGAGAGTAATGTCACTCTCTCTAAAGGTACAGGAAACATAACCTCAATTTTCCCTTCACCAAATGAAACTTCAAACCAATGTCATAACTCGGACTTAGGTGATGAGATCATGATCAGCAAATAAAGGGAACTGAATAATCCGAACAAGTATACAGAGTATTGATAAAGCAATACATGTCCCATACTTATCTAAGCAAGCTTTCACTTTGTTGATTTATAAAGATTTTGCAGTTTGATGTTAATTTGGAAAAAAGAAAAGAACACAATGCAATGTGCAATGATCATTTGTAAGTGTCTAAGTTATGATCAAAATTCTGTAATGAATTTTCAAGAAGTATGCTGACCTTGACCCAGCAAACAGTCACCTGACTAACAGCCATACTTAAACTGAAAACAGCCATATATCTATAAGATAAATGAAATCGGTCTCATTGCTGAACTCATCAGAGATCTTATCTGTGACTGTTGCATACCGAGTTCCATCACTCCATAGTAATAAAATTGCAAAGGTCCATAACTCTGTAATTTTTTATCAAAACCAAAAACCTTTACCTAACAGCCCAGAAACATTATTTTGTCAAAGCTAAATTGATGCTGAATAAGTCTGAAGTTTGATGAAAAATGAAGGTGCTATAGTGTTGGCAATAATTTTTTGTTAAATATAGTAATAGTGATCTTGACCTTCACCTAACAACCCTGAAACTCCAGCCTGTTCAAGATATTTTGATGGTTAATAAGTGTATTAAGTTTGATGAGTCCCTCACAGAAATGGCTTGAGCACTTACAAACTGTCAGACACAGGGATGAATGGACTGGGAGGAAAACAGCAGTGCCCTAAGGTCTTGTTACTGGTGATTGAATAATATTTTTACTTGCAGTTTGACAGGAGAACAGAGTCCTTCAAGATAAATATATATTGTATTACAATGATGAAAACTTTTATAGTATATGTGTACAGAGAATTATTTGTTGTAGTTTCAGTTCATCATGGAGATACTAAAAAATTAATAATGGAGTAGCATAACAGATGTTGAACTTGGGTAAGCAGTTTTTAATTATCTCAACATCAATTTCTAAATCATTTCAGTGTCATGAATCTTCCCATTACAAATTCACGAAAAATGTGTACTGGTGTTATCCTTGGTCTGATCATTTTACTGTCACACAAGGCTTCCTGCATTAATGATGCCAGAGAATTCCTCTCATGTACCACGCTATATCATTACATCACATCCTATGCAAATAGAACTTTATTTCCATCACAATTCACATGCAAGCTCAATAGAACTTGTGCCAATGTTAGTTGTTACACTGGATTAGGCAACTCCTTCAGATAAAAAGAATCTGTCGCCTACCCTGCAGGTTGTAGAATGCTGGTATGGTAGATAACACTAGGGTCCCTCTCTGCTGTATGGTAATTGCATTCTCTTGTAAATATAAGTTTAGGGAAACAAAGTATTTCAAATTGCGTAACTTCAATACCAACACTGCTCCATAATCTCCATGAGAATTGGGAAGTGGAACAAAGTATTCAGAATAGTAATTACAACTGACATGTCTTAGGAGGAATATGAACTGTGGATGCAACAGTTTTCAACAAAGGTCAGGAGTCTTGAAAGGCTAGGGAAGTAGTTTCAGTACATTAACACAATGGGAATCTAAAGGATCATCCTTTTATAGGTTTCGTGTTGATTACCATTCATGATGTTACGCTCACTGAACCCTTGAAATACCTAACAATGGGAAAAAAAATACACATTTAATGAAAAGCTCTCTCATTTATCGTTCTTTTAGGGGTTTGAAATTAACAGAAGAAGTAGTTACCAATCACTGATAATATGTCACCATGTATTCTGGGTGCTGTTATTTACAATGCAGAAAGCTGACAGGAATTCTGGCACTTTGGAAGGAAAATGTTACAGTAATCAGCAAAAGAAGGATCTTTTCCGAGATGGAATGTGAGATGCATATCACTTCACTTGATTAGTGGCAATCCAATGGTCTCCATTAGGCATGGTCATGTCTTGTGATGTGGCTCACTAAACTATATAAAACCTGTCAGGAAGAAACACTGATTGGGCAGTTGATCCTGCTACATGTGTATATAGTTAATAAGCACCTTCTTAGCCTTATATGTAAAGCTGATATTCTGAAAAATCCTGAAATCTTTCTGACATTTTATCACAAAATCCTGATGAAGAAAATTAGAAGAGGCACTTGTAGGCTTCCCTGGAGCAAGTTCATCTCTTTCTTCTTTTCTCATTTAGTTTTCTTTCAACTACATTGTGATTTTAGAATCAATACCTCCAAGTAATGGACCAAAATGGAGACGCATTCTTGGTAAAGATGTTGGCTTCACTTGTTAATTTCCTTCAACATACTGATTTAATTCACCTTGTGTTGAAATCTTTGTCCTATTATTTACATGTCAGTTCTAGGCACCAACTTTAAATTTCACTGGCAGTAACATATTGTTTAATTTGCATCTTGCTCTCTCTATATGTCACAAAATGTATGTAGTGAACAGTTTAGCTGACTTCTTTTCATTCCAGTCCCATGGAATGTGTTCTGGATTAGGTCCCCTCCTTGTCAAGACTGTAGTCATGTGCACTACATGTTATAAACTTTGGTGTCAAGATATTTCACCATTAAGAAAAGAACTGTTTGTCTACAGCACTACTAAATGTGTGCCATCAGTTCAATATAGACCTTTAATAAGCTAAACATGAATTGCAGATCAGTTGGTTTCGTAATGTAACTGGTAATAAGCCTTTTTATGTTCCCTTTAAGGACTGTATTAGAATTGAAACAAAATTGTTGCTAAATGAAACTGTAATAAGCCCATAATGTCTGATAATAACTAGTATGATGCAGTAATGTATGTAATGTCATTTCCAAGATCAATGTAACCCAACTTTTAGGCAAGGAATTAAGCAATAATAATAAAACAATTTTATTTATGTGCATACAAGCATCACTAGAGTTTTTTTTTTCTCTGTTTCTAAAAATACTAGGACCTGTAATCAATCAGCCTTTTAAAATGAATTAAAAATATGCAATCAAGCTCTCCAAAATAAACAAATGCCATAAATAAGGTGTTTGGTTGAATTAGATGAGTGATGAATGGGTTAACTATTAAATTTTGTATTAAATTAGGTCAATCAGCCTCCATTTTCTGTTATTTTCATCCACTACTCTTGTCAACAAATAATTCATGGCAGTACTGACATAATGTTGCTATGGCAACATCTTTGTTTCATTTGAAAGTGATACAGCAACAATACCTGAGATTTATAGGACATATTGAAATGTTGCTCAACCCTACATATATTATTGTCATGATTCAACAAACCTTAGCTATTTAAATAAATACTGGTTTAAGTATTCTCATACAGTGAAACCTCCCTACTAAGACCGCTTGGGGACTGGATAAAATTGGTATGAACATCAAGTTTGACACTATTTCAATGTCCATGTCATTTCAGTCACTGAAATTATTTGTAGGTTTAGAAAATTTAACTTATTATAAGTGTAGCCAACTAACCAGAACATGTACTGTGGTGTGGGAACTTTACATGAACCGTTTTCTCTCAGAAATTATGTCCAGAAATATATTGTTCTGCATGCCCCATCCCTTTTCTATGTGACTTAACATTTAACAAATAGAAATACACAGCGAGTGGTAAACTTTTGATCCAAGAATATTGTGTGACCATCTTTACAGGTGAAAGTGTCAATCTATGTAGTTACATGTTAATGGTCATGTTACGTAACTGGAATGATTGGCATGCTATCATGGATATATTGTAACTATCTCTCAATAAAGCCATGCCTGGTAATGAGCCAACCCATATTATATTATAATGCTGTTGAGTATAATTTTGAAATAATGCATTTTCCCCCTTGGCCTGGACCACTACAGTCTTGTGATAAGTCCAACCCCTGACTTACAGAAATAATGTCTTGGCCCCCTGAGGTAGTGTGATAAGTCCATCCAACTTCGTTTGTTAAACAGTAATGGGTGACTTAAGTAAAGAGTATCTTTGCAAGTCTTAGGGCCCTATAATAAGTCCATACCCTAACTTCATGTAGTAGGCTTCTCCTACATAAAAACAAGTCACACAGAAATTAATACTTGCTGGGATAAATTTAATTTCATGTTTCTTTTTTGCCTATACATTGGACCACTTTTCTGCATAATATACAGTGTTATGCACATGTACCAAAATGTCACAAAAGCCTTTAAAGGAAACACGAAACGGTTTATTTTTATAATGTTAAGACAATTCAATAGTCTGTCATACTGGCTTACAATATCAATATGACTGTGTTATCAGAACAAAAATAACGTTGCAAAACTGAACATGCGTCAATCAAACCTAACTCCAAAAACTTACTAATGATTACGTTAATCCATAATTTGATTTCTAGAATAACCAACTGAACATATATGTTAATTTAATCTTGATTTGAAAAAAATATTGCATTATTCTATGTGTATATGCTCCCTTCTACATAAACACATACCCACTGCAACTTGAAAATCACATTTATACTGAACTGCTACATGACGAGTTTCAGGAAACTTGATATTTGGTTCTGAATAGACACAAGGAATTAGAAACAAATACCAGTCGCAAGTGATGTCAATTTGAACTAACTTACAACTGAATGTGAAACAGCTCAATAAGAAGACTATAAAAAACAATCACATCTATTCCATGTCCATAGCCTCATCCTCCTGCAGGGCTGTAAAACTTATCACTTCCGGTCCATTAGCCAGGGTTAGAACACTCCCTTGGCTGACAGTGGGTACGACCCTCTCGACACCTACACTTGTACCATTTTCCAACACTGGGGGTAGAAGTCTCGTGATCTTGGTGGGAGAGCCACCTTCATCAACATTTACCTCAAGTCCATTCGGAGAAAGAGGCTCATCTCCATCTGAATCTATAGGAAGGTTTTTCTGGTGCCCTTTGCGTGAAAAGCTGTAGTTCTCTATGGGATATAGCTGCTTCTGTTTTCGTTTTCTAGCACTAATTCTGACATTGCCATTACTAAGTGTCACAGGAGCCTGAATGGCAGGAACACTAGAGTGTCGTATGGTGACTTTTGCTGGATTTGCCAGTCTCTCACTAACCACTTTTTTCCTTTGTTCTACCTTTTTACTGGGCACAGGTAATATTTCCTGCTGTACCTGGTCTACACTTTCCACAGCACTATTCCTAGAGCGCTCACTGTTACTACTGTGTAACCGCCTCCTCTTTTGGAAATTCTCCCAAAGTCTTTTCTGCGTTTCTGATGGGTAGGAGTCTCTGAGAGATATAACCTGGGGCTGACTGACCGACAACAATTTACCACTTCCCCCGATTTCATGTAGATGTATGAGGAACATATCAACAGATAGCAACTTTTTACATGTACAGCATCTGATGCAGGTTGAGTCCTTCCTATTGTATTGGTCCAGAAACACATTGCCTGCCTGCATTCTATGCTTGTGTCCATTTCTTGGCACCATATCCTTATGAATGACAGCCAAAATTTCTGCACGTGACTCAGTTTTGTTGTTGTTTCCTTTATTGAACACAACTCTTTTTGCATTATTTGATTTTCCAAAAATCTTCCACTTTACTTTTAAAGCCCCAGGTTTTCGACTTTTCATGATTTTTAATTTTTTTGCCATCTGTTCGCGATCATTATCCTTAGCCCCTCGTTTGCCAATGAAGAATGGAAGTTTTTCACGGAGCCCTTCCACTACTTCTTCCTCTTCCTCTTCTACACGGTTCTCACATTCACTCTCCCCCATACTCTGTTCCTCAGATACTGGCTCCTTGCCCTTTTTGACCTTAACCCTATCTCTGTTGACCACCATCTTATTCTTAACTTTACCAGATGATATTTTCATATTTTTTACATTCACATTCTTTTTCGCTATCTTTTCCTTGTTTATACTTTCCTCAGATGGTGTGGCATTACTAGGTGAAGTACCCTCACACACACTTTCCTCTGAACCAGGCAAAGAGCCTTGGGGGGTCACATTATCCACCAAACTAGTATTATTATTGGCATCCCCTTTCAACATTTCAAGGAAATTAATTTTTTTATGTCTGGTCCTATGTGATACACGTCCTGGTTGAGAAGCTGACACTGAATCTGCTGTTGATGATGCAGAGACTGCAGTCCTGGTTGCAGTAACATCCTGAAGAGGTAATGGTCTAACAGGGATATCGTTCTCCTCAGGTGCTGATACAGGGTCTGACAGAATTGGAAGTACTTCAAGCACCCTGAAATAACATACAGTTACATTGTCACTCTAATATAATACTAATTGTAATGTCATTCTGAAATAATACAAATTACATGATACATGTATTTAAAAATAAAAAACTACATTTTTAAAAATGTTAATGCTGCTTTTCCTATTTCAAATTTGACCATGACAAAGTTTTAATACCAATTTATATTTAAGGAATGTTTTAAGTGTGTATATCTTTATTTTTCGGTAATTCCATACTATTGTATTTGTTTTTTTTGTCAATCATTTCTACATAACTCACGACTAATGTTAACTAACTTTTTTAATTACCAACATGTTTATTATTGCAGTCACAATGTTGTGTCTATACAGAGATTGGACCCCACAATAATTGAAAGGAATTTAGAAGACAAAAGTGCATGAGAACATAGACTCTCAAGAAAACAAAATACATAGTTTTAAATATAAATAAAAAAGATGAAATAGTAAGTGCCAAATCATGTTTTTGTTTTGTAACATCATGTTTTTATTGATTTCTTCCCTGTAGGATTGTTTTCCTAATCAATACAGATTGAGCTAACCGGCTAGTAAAATGTAACCAGACCTAGTAAACAGCATCTCCAATGTAGGTATGATACGAAATACATAACAAAAAATCCATGAATATTCATCCCTATCTTGACTGGAGACAATCTGTCACAAGAAAGCCACACAAACCACAAATTATTTATGACAGTATACATGGACCAGACTTACTGGAGAAGTCAGTGAAAAACTGCTGCTCAATGGTGGCAAATTAAACATAGCTATTACATCCATTTGGGTTGTCATATTTATGTATGTGTATATAATGATGTAATCGATATAGCACACAGGTGTCTACAAGTATACAAAATGTTTGCTGCTACCCTAATTCTTCAGTCTCTTTTTTTGGAGCTTGATTACTAGCATAAGAAAGTAAAACTACAGAAAACCAGTGAAGTCCTTCATTCATGACCCTCCACACAAATTTTAAAGGTTTCTTTAATAAAAGTGTTGGCTGTAACATATATGCCATATTTATGCTCGTAATTTTCAAGTGAACAGATATGACCTACTTAACTAGTGGTAAGCCTCCTGCTACAGTGAAGAATCTGTTATGACAGGACTTTTTTGGACAGGAAATTACAACATCCTGTTTCAATGAATATCAATTTCTACTTTGTTTGATTATAAATACACGGCTTATTATATAACCTGACATGCTATGAATTCACAGTAAATCTATTTTTACATTAGCTGCTAAAACGTGGATATTGATATACTTGTTGGACAGAACAATTTTTTTAGAAAGAAAGATCACATTTAAAGGCTTTCTTTTTTTCTGCTCAATGATACAAACTTTGTTCTTACTATTATTTGATTTTACTATTATCTAAAACTAACTATCAAAACTAATTTTTGTAGATTATTTCCCAAAAAGATATTTTACCAATCCTTAAAAGGGAATTAGTGTTGAAATACCTGTAAACTTCATTTTGTTCAAATACAATGAAAATTGTCATACAGACTACCTCCATATAAAAGTCATCTATCTATAAAGGCCACTTTTTTCGGTTTCTATATAATGCAGGTCATTGTATGTAAATTTATACCTGTAAAGGCTACCTGTCTATAAAGACCACTTACTTTAATTCCTATGTCATTGTTCATAAACCTGTATAAAGACACAACTGTCTAAAATGACTGTTTCTTTTCCTGATGTAACAATGTATAGCAGTTGAAGCTTTATGTAAAGGCCACATTTTGATGTTCTCTAGAGTTGCCTTATAAGAAGGTTTGACTGGTATTAGATATCAGATACACAATTGTCACCCTAAATCTACATAAGTTCTGTCTCTCTGCCTCATGGACTGAAGTCAAGCTTACCAGTCCTCCAAATACCTTCTGTAAAAGTAACTCTATGCTTGACTGGTTGAAATATTTATATTCTGTTCACATCGAATCCACCCTAGTGCTTTTCCAAGCAAAAGATTTCTTTACTCTTGTCCACATTGCTTCTCCACACTTGGTGACACACAGTGATACTATAGCTATAGTAGGGCTAGTAAAACAAGCTAACAGGAAATGTAGCACCTAAACGTGACCTACTTTCTGACCAGCCATATGGCAAAACTAGAACCACAACAGTGTAACAATCAGGATCATTTATCCCTGAAACACACACCATACTGAAGATTCTCCCAGAACATTTATAATTTTTGTAAAATAATTACTACTAACAAATAACGATTTTATTTATTACAGCAAGGATGATTAAATGTACATAAAAATTCTAAATAAAAATTCTGATCACATACAATCACACACTTGCTTCAATGTGAAATGAGATTGATACACTATATAAAGATACCTGTACACCTTTCAAACATGACAAAATCTAGCCTAGGGCACAGCTATTCTACAAGCTCATATCATGTTTGTATTCATGACTAGAACAAGTCAATGGCTAGAACAGATATGTGTCTACTAATACTAGACTACAACATCTACCAAAATACTGTCAGATATTCATAGACTACATCATATAACACTGTCTACTAGTCCTGAACTACAACATATAACACTGCCTTCTAGTCCTGAACTACAACATATAACACTGTCTTCTAGTCCTGGACTTCAACATATAACACTGTCTACTAGTCCTGGACTACAACATAAAACACTGTCTACTAGTCCTGGACTACAACATCCAACACTGTCTACTTGTCCTGGGCTACAAAATTGAACACTGCCTTCTAGTCCCGGACTACAACATATAACACTGCCTTCTAGTCCTGGACTACAACATATAACACTGTCTACAAGTCCTGGACTACAACATCCAACATTGTCTACTAGTCCTGGACTACAACATATAACACTGTCTACTAGTCCTGGACTACAACATCCAACACTGTCTACTAGTCCTGGACTACAACATCCAACATTGTCTACTAGTCCTGGACTACAACATCCAACACTGTCTACTAGTCCTGGACTACAACAAATAACACTGTATTCTAGTCCTGGACTACAAAATTTAACACTGTCTTCTAGTCCTGGACTACAACATATAACACTGTCTACAAGTCCTGGACTACAATATATAACACTGTCTACTAGTCCTGGACTACAACATATAACACTGTCTACTAGTCCTGGACTACAACATCCAACACTGTCTACTAGTCCTGGACTACAACATCCAACACTGTCTACTTGTCCTGGACTACAACAAATAACACTGTATTCTAGTCCTGGACTACAAAATTTAACACTGTCTTCTAGTCCTGGACTACAACATATAACACTGTCTACAAGTCCTGGACTACAACATATAACACTGTCTACTAGTCCTGGACTACAACATCCAACACTGTCTACTAGTCCTGGACTACAACAAATAACATTGTATTCTAGTCCTGGACTACAAAATTTAACACTGTCTTCTAGTCCTGGACTACAACATATAACACTGTCTACTAGTCCTGGACTACAACATCCAACACTGTCTACTAGTCCTGGACTACAACATCCAACATTGTCTACTAGTCCTGGACTACAACATCCAACACTGTCTACTAGTCCTGGACTACAACAAATAACACTGTATTCTAGTCCTGGACTACAAAATTTAACACTGTCTTCTAGTCCTGGACTACAACATATAACACTGTCTACAAGTCCTGGACTACAATATATAACACTGTCTACTAGTCCTGGACTACAACATATAACACTGTCTACTAGTCCTGGACTACAACATCCAACACTGTATTCTAGTCCTGGACTACAAAATTTAACACTGTCTACTAGTCCTGGACTACAACAAATAACACTGTATTCTAGTCCTGGACTACAAAATTTAACACTGTCTTCTAGTCCTGGACTACAACATATAACACTGTCTACAAGTCCTGGACTACAACATATAACACTGTCTACTAGTCCTGGACTACAACATCCAACACTGTCTACTAGTCCTGGACTACAACAAATAACATTGTATTCTAGTCCTGGACTACAAAATTTAACACTGTCTTCTAGTCCTGGACTACAACATATAACACTGTCTACTAGTCCTGGACTACAAAATTTAACACTGTCTTCTAGTCCTGGACTACAACATATAACACTGTCTACTAGTCCTGGACTACAAGATATAACACTGTATTCTAGTCCTGGACTACAAAATTTAACACTGTCTTCTAGACCTGGACTACAACATATAACACTGTCTACTAGTCCTGGACTACAACATATAACACTGTCTACTAGTCCTGAACTACAACATATAACACTGTCTAGAAGTCCTGGACTACAACATATAACACTGTCTACTAGTCCTGGACTACAAGATACAACACTGTCTACTAGTCCTGGACTACAATATATAACACTGTCTACTAGTCCTGGACTACAACACATAACACCGTCCATTAGTTCATACAATTTCCATTCAAGTACATCTATACTGATACATAAAACCCTATCAGCTAACGTAGACATGGCCAGTTCAGTACACCCAGTACTATCTAAAAATTAAACAAATATTGTTTATAATCATGTCTCAAAATATTGTTGAAGATATCCTACAGAGACTTTCAGATAGCAAAGACTGAAAGAGGTTCATTTTACACAAACAGCATTGACCTATTTCCCCCATGTTTAAAAATCATAAAAGCATAAGGAGTTATTTACTGGGGCATATCATGAAACAGCATGCAAGAAACATTGGACTGGATGTGTTGTTTACCTTGGCTCTGCAATGTGGTCCTTGACCTTGGCTCCTCCTCTGACCTTGGAGAACCTTGATGGTCCCACACGGTCCTCCACACTGCGGCCTACCAGCGATTCCTCTCCTCGTGAAGTTTTGGGAACAGGGTTAACATAGTATCCTATCAACATCTTGGCATCGTTTTTGCCCACAATCAAGGTGCTTTTGGAGTTAAATGCCTTGCCATACTGAACAAGGAAGTAGCGCTGCATTTCTGAGCAGTTACCTACATAAATTCCTAGTAGTTGACACCTCTTTTTCAGAATTCCTGTATCTTTCGCTGGCAAGATTTGTTTATGAATATCTACCAAACGAACAAATGGTAAATTATCAATCATAATTGCAGGTAAATCATTCCAGAACATACTAACAGTAACAATCCAGGGGGCACTGTAGTCTGTGGCAGGGGGTGCTGGGGACACAGTGGGTGGAATGGTAGAAGGACTAGAGTTGTCAGGGACCGTTGAATCCGGAAACAATTTAAGGTCATTTTCAAAGAGATCTAATGACGACTTTTCAAGGGAGGTAAAAGGGAGGTCCTGTGTTGAAGATTTATCCAAGGAAGTAAATGCAAGATCCTGAATGCTACTGACAGAGCTGGGACCGGGAATGTCTGATGTTAGAAGTGACTTTGACTGATCAGTCTTTAACAAAGACTGGACAGTGGTGGCTGGACCCATATTCGTCAGTGTAGAATGTTGTCCTGTTCGTGATCTCTCTGAAGTATTGCCTGACTGTAGGAGAGACTTGGCAGCTCCATTTGCCTGTAACAATGTCTTCACTGTGAGTGGTTTGTCTTCACATTTCACTAAATTCTGGCTTGGTGGTTCACTTACAAGGTTAGGGACGACTACTTTAGGTTGACTTTCACAGGCTGGCTCTAGCGAATCTGTGGAATAAATGCAATAAAGATCTTCTTTAAGAATACTTTCACAGCTACACCAAATATAATATTTTTATGTTTTATGATTTTTTTTAATCATTCCCACTGATAATATGGCTTTAATTTCATACTTTTATATTCTACGAGTGCATTGAGGGCAACACATATTGATTTTGTTCAGTGAATACTTTTTAACTACAAAAAGATCTCTTTTCATTTCCATGTTTTCGATTCAGAGTATTTTGTATCAGATAACATATAGACTTCCCTGGAGAAAATATGGTTCCCCCTCCCCCTTCCAGATGGGTGTAATTAATGAAATCTGTATATTTAATATAATGCTCTACTGATACTATCCAGTATGCTCCCTTTATTAACAGTAAAGGTCACTATATTCTTCATTAATTTTGATTATTTTATACAGCAATAGATCAGTTTAATGGTTTATGAATGCCATCATTTTTTTACGAAAAATAAGGCAGTAGAACATCTATGACATAGAAGTATTTTTAATATTAAAAATGAGGCAGGTTTGCCTGTCAACATTGGCAGGTAGTAAGATCAGCAGATAGAATTTCCCACCTGTACCAAAAAGAATTGTCAAAGGCACTGTCCCAGAGCAACAAAGAAAATTTGTTTCAATACAATAGTAATTGAAAACCTTATATTCTTCTTCAATCCTGATTGGAAACTTTCTCATGTTATACCATCATGAAGTGCAGCCCTATACCTAGCTTTTTTAAAAGCTCACCATGCACTTACCAGGAGAAAAAAATCAAACCTAGTCGATACCTGAACACATAAAAAACAAAGTAGTTAGCACACTAAACACTGGGTTGATAAAGAAGTTAGTTTACTGATTTTGGTGTGGATGAAGACCATATACAGTTCTGTCAATTATTCTAAATTCAAATGTAACCAGCAAGTCTTTAAAACCACAAACTATTACAAGGAACCACAGAACTAAGCAGGATAAAATTTAAACACAAAGCAGGTTTGCCTCTCGGAAGTGGTGGCCTTTAGACAACCTTTAGCTAGCAATCAATGTCCTGTTACCACAAAGGATACAGGCTAGCCAGTACCCAAATACTGTATTGATTGCAGCAGCCTTTATCACTCCAGTTTATGTCTGTACCATCTCGTCTTATACATGATCACAAACTCCAGTATATAACCAATACAACTACCTTCAGGGTTGTACCATCAATCTATCTTAATATATATCTAGTAACAACGACACAGAAAACATTCATCTGCATAAAACTCTCATTTAAATATAAGATATGTGCTTGAAGCTAAGTTTGAAATTGTAGGAATCTGAAAACTACATCTCATTTTTCTTCTTCTTTCACATGGAAAACTTTCTTAGCTGAAAAATTTCTTTTCACAGTAAATAAGCCAACTAGCAATACAGCTCATCAATCTTCAGAAACTAGCAATCATATTGTCTATATGCACTTCTGTCTACAAGTCAGGATATAGACTGTAAGAAGATGCACCAGATGCATATGTTGTACAGATCTGTTGCAGTTTATATATACATATATTTACAATCACTGAAGATAACCACAATTAGGTGTTCATAATTTAGAAGTCTGTGAATATGATTTTGGTGTAGTCTGTCCATGCTTGAACTGGTATAAACATATGGACTCTTTGTCAAGACCAATCATTGGAACGCTAACCTAGCATGACTATAGGAAAAACATAGTTAGGGCCAATTACAGCAGCAATAAATGCCTGACAGGTCAGAGAAGGGGTAGGGACAGGCTAATCATCAGGTATTTAAAACGCTCTTAAGTCTGGCATTACCTTGTAAAGGGAGCTTGATTGAACTGGTGTTTAGTAATGGTGGAGCTTATACCATGACCAATGCTGTATTGTGTGTGCTAACAGTATACATGATATTATCTCTCAATCATCCCTCAAAGAGCTAATCATGTTGTTTAAAGTTCAGTTGTGTGTTAGCTTTATGAATAGAGCAGATTAGCATCATCTATAGAACTATCAGATTTTTTTTTCCATTCTAGGTCAGATAAATGTTTGCATAGCATATCTAATATAATGGATGCCCATTTCCAATTTTACATGAGGAAACCAATATCAAATTATCTTGATAGAACTTATAGTTTTTTCAAGTATCTTGAAAATTAAAATTTTCCTTTTACTAAAATTCATTCAGTATTTCAATTTCTAACAATCACATGTGAAGATAAAGCTTCATTCCACAAGCTTCTCATACAATAGATTGTGTAGTAAACCAGGTTTGAACCAACCACCCACTCCCCCAAGCCAATTTCTATGAAATCTATACAATGTACATCAATATTCAAGAGGTCTAAAGCTATACTGCCAAAGGCAAATATGCATACTGGAGTGTTTGTGTAGAACTAGTGACTACCTTGTACCTAATACACCGCAGCTAGATCACTACTTCTCTCCCCTTATACATAGCTGACAGGGTAAGTGAGAGATTTATCATTAAGTTCGTAACAAAAGAAAAGAACCTCTAGAAATGTGTTGACCAGACCACTGCATTAACAGTACACTAAACACCCCACTAATCTGACTTCTGTATTAACTGTACAATAAAAAACGTGACAAGTTAGACCTCTGTATTAACTGTACAAAAAAACGTGACAAGTTTGACCTCTGTATTAACTGTACAAAAAAACTTGACAAATTTGACCTCTGTATTGACTGTACAAAAAAAAAAAAAAAACATGACAAGTTTGACCTCTGTATTTATGGTACAACAGAAACCTGACTAGTCTGACCTCTGTATTAACTGTACAACAAAAACCTGATTAGTCTGACCTCTATATTAACTGTACAAAAAAAAATCCTGACTAGTCAGACCACTACATATACTGTTCAACAAACACCTGACTGGTCTGACCTCTGTATTTATGGTACAACAGAAACCTGACTAGTCTGACCACTGTACTAAATGTACAACAAACACCTGGGTGGTCTGACCTCTGTACTAACTGTACAACAAAAACCTGTCTAGTCTGACCTCTGTATTTATGGTATAACAGAAACCTGACTAGTCTGATCTCTGTACTAAATGTACAACAAAAACCTGTCTAGTCTGACCCCTGTGTACACAACAATAAATCTACCATGTTGGCTACATGTATCAGTGATAAATCACACCTGTTTGTTATACATCAACCTGACAGCTGATACACCAGGTAAACATCAATCCTGTGTCAGCATACAGGTATTCAACCATTACAAATGAGCAATATCTGCTATTAACCAGCTTACATTTAATAGCATAGTGTATATAAATCAACAAGGCCATGGGCATTGTTACTTTTATTATCAAAAAGTGTGTGGGAGGGAAGATTACAAGGCAACTATAGCTAGATATAGACAATATATGTACTTACAACTTTACAAGGGTAGATACATTTACAAAAAAAATAATTATTAACCATATACAAGCCATTCAATAAACAAGTATTTTCCCAGTGAACCAATCTATTTCCTAATTAACCCCTACAATTAAAGGCAGTAATTAAGAATCTCCTTTGACTTTCCACATTCAGTTTTCCTATTATATATCTATTGGAAGTCTTCTTCACATTTACTACAGGTTGTGGATATTCCTTATTTGATTTTGTCAGTGTGTTATGTCCAGAAAAAGTAATCTTCGCCAAACTGAATAATGAGAAAAAGATTAACTCTGTTTTTCCGATATAATTCTGCTATAGAAATACCTCTAGGGGAAGCATAATTTACTTCTGCTCGTACAGAATATACGCCAACAACATTGTAAGTTTATAAATCAAATTATAGTTTACAGCACGGTAAAGTGTGTATAGATCTTTTAATGAAGGACTCAAGTCAACCCATCATTTACCAGTATGACAATGTAGTTGTTTACAAATTTTACAAATCTTACAAACTTGTTGTTATTTAAACTTATGCACTCCTTGGTTCTGTTCCAACACCTTAAACTTCAACAATCCTGTTTTCAACTGGTTGTGACCATGTAACTGGAGACTTGTTTCACCCAATCCCTCTATACATAGCTACTGGTTATCAACTTCCTTGAATAATATCAAATGCACCCAGATACACTTATATGGGCTCGGTTGCAGTAAATGAATACTTCAAACTTAATGAACAATGCTGTCTTAGTCACGAATTTCTCTCCTTCAAACACATAAAATCAGTATTCTTTAATCAATGAATTGCAGATCACATACCCAACAACAATGATACTTCAGGTTTAAACTGATGACCCACACAAAAGAGATTATATTCTGATCCACAGAAAGATTTAAATCCTTCAAACTTAACTCTCGTTCCAAACATTAAATACATTCGATTTTGTTTGGTAACCCAGATTAAGATTTCCTGCAACAAGAAGCGGAGATTGCGTGTCTTATAAAGTCTGTTTTAAACACAATCAATGTGCTTGTTCTAACTTTCTTTAATTTCTGCTTAGAATATCAAAAACATCTGTTCAACAATAAAATCAATTATCAGTCATATCACAAATCTAGAAATAGACAAGAAAATAAAGTGACACATGAAGTCCAGTGGCCAAGGAGGAGTTTCAAGTTGTAAGTACACTGGACACTGAATACAAACAGAATCATGGTTAACAGAAAAAATGGACACTCGTCATCAACATAATAAATAATGGACACTATAATTTCATATTAAACACATATGTTGGAAATATAAGGACTGAAAGATAGTAACTGAATCTAATTTGGGGTTTAAATATGCAGCAATAACTAACATCACTACTGAAGTTATATGAAAATACATCTTTCAACATAATAACACAAAGTTGTCAGCTGAATAGTTAAATGGCCATAGATTGTTTGCTTTAGGCAGTTTAGACTTGCATCTTTGTCTTCATTTGTATGAAGGTTAGATAATATCAAGGTTAAACTAAACTGATTCTTAGAAGATACTAATTTTAAATAGGAAATTTCATGATGTTATGACCAGAGATCCAAATGCACATCTATGTCTTTAAAAAGGGTTTTTTATGAGCTAAACATACACAAAATCAACATGTATCTGTAAGTTAAAACAATTTCTAATTGAAAGGTGCAAAATTATGTCTTGTCTATTCCAGTATCAGATGTTTACTGGAAATATGAAGACAGGTAAAAATTTCCAGTCAACAGTAAGTAGGCTGTAAAATTGAAACCTAACTTACAGCTATAAAGACTGTTTGTAATATCAATAACTTGTTGAAGACAAAACCCATGTGTTGTTACAGGGTTTGTTTATATTTTAATCTTCTGAAACCCCAGTATACATTACTAATCACATGACATCGATCTCGGCACTCAACACCCATGACCTATTAACCACCAATCTGCATAAACCAAATCAATTTCCCACCACTCAAGGTGTACCGTTTCTCCACAGGCACAGAACATGAGGAAACCATGGAATGTTCACAATATTTGGGTCAATTTGGTGGTGACAACTTTTCTATAAATTTTTAAAATTCTTAATGTTGATGATTTTTGTGATGAATATGTGTATATTGCCTGTATTTATCTCCTGCAAGTACATGCCTGGTAATACGTTAACTCATAGTTTGCTGTTTAGTAAAATTATAAGCCAATCCCAATATCCTGTAATAAGACTACATTTGACTTTGAGTAAGAAGTAAAGTGTAGACCCCAGGGACTTCATGAGGATTAGTATGGTATACATATAGAATTTCCTCTTGTTTCAATCCAGACACGCCTGTAGATTACCATTTTAATTGAGATAGGGTCCTTTAAAGACATGTTTCTGATTTCATTGTCAATGTTCATTCAAAATCACACCACCTTTAAATTGTTCTAGACATTGGGAAGTTCTTGGCTTCTGTTAAACCAGATTATTTCATTTATGCCTCTTTGTCATGATATTGTTTGTCATTTATCTTCGACTATAATACTAAGTAATGTATGAGTGTGTGTTCAGAAACAAGGACAACTGTACAACAACTGTTGTAGTACCACAACTGTTAAATGTAGTACTGTATAATTAGACTCACTAAGACCTATCCAAACACAAAGCTTCACCCTTTACTTTCTAAACCTCATGGCTAATACTAAGAGTAATGGCTATAGTGTGTTTACATCCAGCTACACTCCAAAGGAGCTTATACAGAGAGCTCAGGGCTAATCTTGTCTGCTTAGCACATGACCAACATTTCATTTCCATCATATGTATAGAGGACTACACGTGTTTCTAGACAAAAATAGCCTCCAGACATATGTTAACTCTGATTCTACCTGCAAGCATTTCAACCTGAATCAGAATTGATCGCAGGTGACCTATTTACCTCACTCTTACTGAATTATTATCCTATACTTGACATGTTCAATAAACTGGGCAACAAATTTTATATAACATTTAATTGATCTTCTCTGCTGCTGTCAATATGGGATAGAGAAGAACAAGAACTAGCTATCAAGATATTTACATTTCAAGTCTTGTCATATAAACATGTCCTTCATATACACATTTGTAAAATTTGAATTTTTAAAAAAAAAATTTGACTTTTTTCTAAAGGAAAAATTTCTCTGAGAAAATATATTATATTAAATTCTTTGTTCACAATGTTCTGCTTTAGAATTTGTTTACAGGTTCAAGTAACAAAGCACATTTTCCAGTATATCTATTAGCGATTATGACCTTTCACATACAATGGGCTGTTTAGGAAAACCTGTATTCATATATAAGGAATAACTGATCAACATAATTACACTTGCAGTATTGGAGACAATTTGGGATTCTTTAGTGGTAGCTAACTAAATTAAATCTGATGATAGAGCTATGTTAACCACAGGAATTGGATGCTCTAGGTATGAAGTTCTGGTGGTATAATAGCTATATTTCACAAATAGAACATCCAATTCCTGTGATCTGACTTCTAATTGAGGCTTAATTTTGATAATGTATGGTTTTAAACGAATCCATATTTGGATGACCTTACCTGTTTGTGAAGTGGATGGGACAGGATTGTCAACTGTGGTAGAACATTTCATTGGAACCTTCTGTCCTTGGTTGGGTAATGTTGAAGTATCCAGCCCGCCTTGCAATGAATGCTCTGGGTTAGCAGCCAGAACTTGTGTTGGTCTGCTTTGTGGACACATGGGCTCTGTAGGTGTGGTTGTATCCTCGGAAATTTCAGACTGCGATGTGGGAGAAGAAGGGCCACAGTCCAAGTCATCAAACCCTTGTACTTCATCCATAGCACTGTACAAGATTTCATATTGCTCCGGAGTCAGGTTCATTTGCTCCGGTAGGAAGTTAAAACTATCAGAATTTGGAAGGGACAAGCTAGGGACCTCTGTTCCTACATCTGGAACTATACTTGAGGAAGATGTAGTGCTTGTACTCTCACCTGTTTCCATACTCAAAATGGTATTGATGATCTTACTTTCTTCATCAGACATGGGACCAGTAGATGACACACTAGATTTTGTGGTCTCCGATACGGGAGGAGCGGTCACCATGATAGAAGGTGAGGACTGTATCTGTTTCAGACTTTGAGATGAAGAGGCAGACACAGGTAGACCTCCTAATCCAGATGATGAAGCTGCAGATTTGATTGAAGCATGTTTTCCAAGTCTTATGGCCTCAAGGTCTGCATCAGTTAAATGGGGTACCACTATGTCACCAGGTTTAGGAGTTGGTACAACAATCCTATCAGGAGGTAACTGTGGTGGCAAATCTTGACTATTTGTCCTTCGCCTACTGCGCACTTTTGTATTAAGAAAGTAAATGTAGTCATCCTGGAATTTACCAGTAATTTTTAACTTTGAGTCTGAGTTACCCATTTTGACATATTCTGCTGCCTTTTCTGCCTTAGCTCTTTGTCTTGCTGTCATATGTGGTTGTACAACTGGAAAATCAACTGGAGAACTTGACAGACTGCTAGGGGATGATAACTCTGCACTACTACTGCGAGGTAAGTCTGGTCGACCAGATAGACTCACTCTCCTTGGTCGTTTACTAGTACTACCATTAGACTCACTAGATTCTGTTCTCTTATCTCTTCCACCGCATTTTAAAACATTCTTCATGGAGGTATCCTTTAACAATTTTGCCATGAGGTGTGGGCTGGAGGATTCTGCCTCAGGTGGGAGGCAGTAATCATGATCATGCTCCACATGTCCTTTCCAGATATCCAGAGATTCAACAGAAACTGATGAATCCTGAATTGTTACCTGTGGTCCATTATTAGCACTAGTTACAATACATGGCATCATAGACCTTCCTGATGCGTTGATTTTACCTAGTAGTGATTTTGTACAGTTTGCTAAGTCCTTAGATGACTGCTTTGCAGTGATCACCTGTGCTGACTGTCTTTTCTTAGGTGACTCAAGTCCCATAGCTGAATTACTTACAGATCCAAATGTTCCAATACGGTACTTCCCTACTTTCGGAGACACATTTTTGTTTGGAATTGATACCTTGTTAGACTTGATAGGTGTCACTGGTACTGGATGCAAGTTTGTCACTCCATTGTCTGAAGATGACTGCTGCATCAACGCAATGATAGCATCTCGTGTTTTGTTGACGTCGCTAAGATCTTGGCTTAAAATACTAGCAGAGCTTGATGTTACAAGAAAGTTTTTAATGTCTTTAATTTCTACATTTTCAGGACTTGAGTCAGAGCTTCCACTATCCATTTTCTGGTCAACAGGTGTGTCACTTAGCCTATTTGGAAACATTTTATTCCCACTTGGAGTCCCTGGTGAAACCTCGACAAAACCACTGTCCTGAGATAGATCACTGACAAGGCTGTCAGCTGACTGTAACCTTATACTTTTCCTCACAGGTTTTGGTTCTGTAACATTTTCTGATAATCCTGCATAACAATGATCTGCAGAAGCAGGTGAACTGGTTTCATCACTTCGTCCTGATTGTACAAGCGGTTTCAAACATGAACTTATTTGATGAGTTTCTAAACAAGGTTGAGTTTTTAAGAAAATTTTACTACTAGAATTGGAAAATGCTGGGTCATCAAATGCGCTACTGTCATTGCTTTCTTTGAAAAGCTCTTCTTCGAACATTTTTTCAGAAGCTTGCTCTGGAATATCAACAAGTTCAGGACTGCTAGCATTTTCCAGTGATGATGTAGAAGCTATAGGCTTTTTACAACAAAGCTTATCATCTCCAATTTGCGGTATTTCTTTTTCACAAATTACATTATCATCACAACTTTCTCCTTCCTGAGCAACACTGCTGTATTTTGCCACCATATCTGATTCCAACACCTGATCTTGTTCTACAAAGGTAGATTGTGACATGGAGACTTGCCCAGCAGATGTCTGAACTGGTGATACACTGGCTGTCTGAAAGTCTGCACTACATATGTCTTTCATTTCATCATGATCTTTCAGTTTATCAGACCCAGATTCTCCAGGACAATTGTCACTAGTCTCCACACACAGATCCTTAGAATTAGATAATGAGCTGGTCACTAAAGAGTCGTCTGCCTTGGAAGATAAATAACCAATATCTGATTGGGCAGTCTGCTTGTTGTGGTTGATGTTTATCACCAGAGTCTGAGGTTGACGGAGTTTGGTCTCTGGGTTTGGCATGGTGTGAGAAACCATGCGAATGTGACTTTTTGTTTTTGAAGCTCCAAGGTTTACCAGTGTATTGGATGTACTGTTCACCTCCAGCTGACAGGCAGTGAGATCTGTGGTAGCATCACCTTGGCTACCTGTATCACAGTTTGACACACCTGAGTTATTCACAGATATTGGTTCAACTTGTTTATTGTCACATCCAGGTTGATTGTCTATTACAGCACAATGACTTGGGGATTCTGGTTCTGTTTCAGATGCTTTTTCATTATTAGATTTAACACACGAACACTCCTGCCCCACTGCTGGTTTGGACAGCGTTATGCATGAGGTATCATCACCTAAACATGGGGAAGTGTTTATGTGTATATTTTTATTCACACATGAACACTGTGTTTTATCAGTACACGTACATGAAGTGCTATCTGAGCTAGACTCTGTACTATTATCATTGATCTCTGTACTGACGGAGTGATCTCCACTTACTGAGCTTATCTCATGTGTCTCAATGCCCTCTGCCTTGTTATCTTGGCCGGCCTCTGGCAGGTTACCTGTATCACTAGTGTGATTCACCTGGTCACCCTCATTGTCCATCTTCCTGTCACCTGAGGCCCTTACACCGTCCCCTGAAGGCCCCACATCAACAGAATCAATAGGTTTTACCACTGTATGATCACCTGTCCCGTTCACCACTGTTACAATAACTTTTCTGTCCTTAACACTTGTCTCAGGCCATGAACCTGAAGGTTTTCCGTAATTTTTACGGGAATTTCCATAGTTGTGTTCGTCTAACATTTTTTCTATATCTGAGGTTATTTTTAGCACTCTGATTTTCCTCATGTGTACACCATTATTTCCATTTTTGCTGTTTTCACTACTGGTTTTGGCATCTGCATTATTGTCAGTAACATTGTCCTCACTGTTGGATGGTGATGACTGAGTCATGGTGTGTCCCTGACCTTTGTCTACGTGACCTTTATCTCCTTGACCTTTGTCGACTTGTTTGAGAGCAGCTGCTGTAGCAAGAATGTCGAGAGGATTGAAAGCCTCTGGCTTGGGTTCCTGGGTAGACATGACGTGCTACACCTCACATTATGTGGGGACCCCGGCTCATGCAGTCTACCATCACTCAACCTGAAACATAAACCACAAGTTATAAAAAACATACAAAGAATATATAAGTTGTACATTTATATTGATTATAACAGATCTCTGAAATAAGACAAGCACACACATAAAAATTGTTAAACTGGTGAAGATACACAACATAGTACTGCCTTCTCTTACATACTGAATTTTAACAAAAACCTGGAAATACTTCATAACATCTAAGCTGGTTATAAATCTAGTGTACATCTATATGTTCTGTGTTAGTTTTCACCTAGCCTTCTTTAATGAAACACCAATTCATGTCAACTTTTTGTAATATTTGAAGTTCTTATTTCAGAAACAATCTTTTAAATCATTATATGGTACATCGTTACATTTTATCTTATGTCGAATAATCCACTGGAACTAACATAAATCACTCACAAACATTTTCACCTCTGCCTTGGTCTATCACATCTTTGTCAGATAAACATATTATACACAGAATTACAGCTAGCAATGACCTGTCTTCAAGGTGATTATAATCATCTTGGTCCTGTATCAGAACTCTGTCTTTCTGTCATAAAGTGTGATGGTATACAGTGGAAAGGGTCATTACATTCTACATTTACGACTTTCAACAACAGAATAAATTATACATGTCAACCTATAGATCAAAAGTCTATTTCTTCATGGTTCACTGATTATTCCATGCATCTAAAATCATACTGGATACTTATTGATACATTTTAAAGTAATTTTTAGGCCAGTCCAGAAAACCAATTCCAAAATACTAAAAGATATAGCAAGTTCTCAAAATATGAGCAAGTTGCAGGAGAATTTGAATCCCAAAAATCACTGATTTCTACTATGACACAATCCAAATTTGAAGTATTTCTGAATCATATAAAAAAGTGAAAAAGTTCTTTTTCAAAGCATTTTCTTATCATATCCCAGAGGTTATCTTAGTGTCCACCATTATTTGATTTTTTTTTTCTTCAAAAGTTTAATCTTTTCCCTTCTTTTCTCTTCTCTCATTTGTTTGAACATTCTTCTGAAGAAATAGTGGTTATAATCTTTAATCCAATACAAGCTATTGGAAATTTCTATTTTCTGATCAGTCTTAAAATCACATGGGCAGAGAGATCCATCCAGTACTTCTCAAGAGACAGATGGACAACTGAGCAGGGACATAGAGTAATTTGAACAGCCCACTATCTCATGATGGTGGGCTAATAAAAGCAGACTAAACAGTAAAGTCTTAATCAGTACAAAAATAAGTCAAGCTAACAAGCAGTACTGTAGTAATGTCTGTGTGTACATAATGTATTTTTAACATCCTGTACATACGTACTGTTTTTCACATGTGTAGCAGTATCGCACAAGCAATATAATATACACAATGATCCTTGAACAACAATATGATAAAGCAGATTTTTCCTTCCTGAAATAATCTCTCTATAATACTTATTCTCACAAGCAATGCACACATAAACCAACATATTGTATCTAGTACTGTATGAAGTCACTTTCCTAGAAACACTGCTATTAATGTATACCAGCAAGAAATCTATACTCACAACCATAGTACATGGCTTATTTTCCACGTGCCTGTCGGTATCATTACATGTTTGCCTACTGAAATGATATACAAGTCTTTAGCCAATATAATCTATATTTACTTGTATATGCCAAATCTTTACTTTCCTAATCTAGATCCACCGATTTTTAAATTCTATCCAGGAGTCTCAGTCGCGTGTTACAAGAAATTCATGGAGTTGATTAAAGGTCTGTTCAATGACTAATCCAAGTCACTATTATATATAGGCAACTCTTTCATACTTCTAATTGTATCTTTCCATAAACATACTGTTTGCTTCTTTATGAATTATGTAAAGTATCTTATGTATTAAATAAAGCTTTACTTTCAGAAATCTATCCCTGAAATTACCTAGAAAAAAATTTGAAACAAAGAGTTGAAAAATACCTTTGATTTTTATCATAAACAAATAACTAATAATGTGTAACAAATGCTGTTTGTTTTGTTTGTTTCTTTTTTAAGATAAAATTTTACAAATAACAGTAAATACTAGACATTTGTTCCTGTGGTGTGTTGGAGAAATAATGAGACTTTGATCCTTGTAGCCCAAGACCATAAAATTGGAAATTCAACAATTTTTTCAGAAACAGGACAGATCTATAAACTAGTATGACTTCATATCGAAATTAAGCCATGATTCTAATATTTTACATAATTGAACTGATGTTTTATTCTCTGGATAACAGAATATCAAAATAAATTGGTTCCACTGCATTTCTGAACTCAGAATTTACTTAATGTTTAACAAGGTTGTAAACTATATCTAAAGAATGTTGAGACATTCAAAGCAACCTAAGTAGTTTTATCTATAACTTCAATTACACACTACACACTCAACCTCAACCGGCATTGTACCGGAAGCATCTATAATGATCACATCTGATATAAAGGCTCACATTCACCAACATATATTTTATCACATTCATCAATATGTTCATTCCCCCTTGGCCCATTTAGTCATAAATCTCGCTCAAAATACCAAGTTACGTAAATATTGTACCTACAGGATAAGTTTTGATATCTCCAAAACAAATAGTCCCCATACATGCCTTAAACATTACATATATGCTATATACTTGTCCAATAGAACTATATATATATGCCCATATATATACTAGTCTGAATTTGTAAAGCTACGTCTGGTATTTGAACAGGACCATAAAATCAATCGGACAAGCTAGCAAGTCATAGAAACCTCACAACCACACAAAGCTTGTATTTCTGTAACACAAGTTTCTATAAAATGCACCATAGGGGATGCATGTATGCTCAAAAGGAATTAGAAAATGATTAAAGTTGACTGGTATGTTTAAATTGGAGCAGGGTGTTATTGGTTTTTATATAACTGTCAATCTAGTTGCCAATACACTGTTATTTACACATGAACTAATTAAAATGATATTCTAATGCTACATGAAATCAAAAGAAAATATTGCATATTTTCTATTCATACTCCTAATGTGAATTAAAACAATATAATTAATTCCTTTAAATGGCATTTATATTAACAGTAATGCTATTCAAATTGAATCACAGACCCTTCTAATATTAAAACAAAAATACATCTGAAACAGATTCTAGAATGCTAAGTAACTTTGTCTTTACTTCTATGATAGACTGTGAATCATTAAGTACTCTGATGATTTTTTTCAGATTAGAATCTTCAGACTTCACTGTACCAACCTATTGATAAAGATTTACCTGTGTACACACCACAAAACATATACAGGGACTATCGCACAAATATTGCCCAAGGTGTTCATATTAAACATGATGGTGATCCCACAATGAAGTCTACACACTATTATACAGTGCACATGGTGTATGTACATATTGTATACGCATTGTTAGCTTTACTCGACCCAAACAGATTTTATTTCAACCATATTCACATTCAGAATTTTCAAATATTTTGCAACTACTTAGTTCAAATTGTACAGTTTCAGATTTCATATGTGTCTTTGAACACACAAGATCAGATCTGTAAGTCATATATATTCCCTGAATCTGTAGTCGAAGCTTTCATGGCTTCCCTGATATTGGTCATGGTGAGGCTCCTAGGCGGCATCCCCTATACTACAGATGGTGATGATATTATGGGTCACAGCTGTTCCTATACAGCTCATGCTAAATACATTCCCACATTTGTGCCACAAACATAAATTTAAACTGTTGCTCTCCAATTTACTCCAAATTTCTATATTGAAGTTCAACCCATGTACATGTGTCGATAAAAAAATAATCTGGCAGTTTTTCAAACAAAGAACTTAAACCTCATTAGATGTAAACATCTGTGGATTATATCTCCACTAGAACATGAAACACGTTTTTCTGAAACATTAAATGGATCATAATGGATTTGACTAATACAGTCTTTACCTTAACATTTATAACTTTCATGAAAATCAGATTTTACAATGATCAGATTTTTCTGTAAGTATTAATATTGTACAAATGAAACATTATTACAGATTTTATGTACTGCATGGAGTATCTTTAGTTCAGAGCTTGTGATGGAAACAAGAATTTTTTCATTTGACTAACTCTAGGTCTATTTAAATCATCACAGATACATATATGACAAATATTCACATTTGCGGTACAAGTATGTCTAAACAATAAACAATAATACTGTATATGTAATGTAAAAAATACCATCCTGTTGGTCATACCTAAAATGACGTTACTACTGACTAGACTTGTAATAGTACCGGGACTCACCCAGTCAAGGATCAGAGGAGACGTTCAACCTCAGTGAATATGACTTTACACCCTGCAGATAAGGAGAAGACATCCTCTGGTGTGTAGGCTCCACATTCAACCCAATACACTTTAACTCAATCTGTTAAATCTTTTAAAACTTTGATATTCGTTGAATGAAAAGTTTCTATTTTCTTTCTATTGGAATTTTTATCACCATTAGCAAATATTCACATAATTGTTTTTATGAACTTGATTTGCCCAGAAAATCACAGGATAGGATTTTTATGTATAGCTTTTGGTAATTGAAGTCTAGATACATATGCCTGGTTTGAAGAAAAGGAGAAAAACTGTATATTGATATGAAGCTGCATATCTTTAAAACTGTCTTTAAATCATTTCCAAATAGGCACAGAATCATATACTGTAGGATTTCTTGAAATGGCATATTACATGCAAGATCACAACCAAACAATACAAACACTAGGATCATTATTCAAATACTGTTATACCTATGTACAAGTGTGGAGAGTAGCTGAACAAAATATGTGCCAAGTCAAGCAGTGCAAAAATATACATAAATGTATACCAGAACACCTGCCTGTTGCCATACTGTATATTCATCCCTATTTAGTAGATGTAAAATATCTTAGCTCACTTATTGGCTACACATAGGAAGAGTTCATTTTCTATAAAAGGGTAGAAAGACTATTAGCACCTGCACAGGGTCCTAGTCTATTCTACC